GAACGGAACCAGAGAACCCCCACCCACAGCCCACACCCAGGCCCAAGCCCACAGAACATCGAACATGGGGGTAAGGAGCCTACCCCTCACAGAGTCCTCTTCCCCAGGAGTAGGAGGTGAGAGAGGGGACCTGAAGGGCAGCAGCTCCCCCAGCCCAGCACCCCTCTTGGCCCACCTGTGGGCGGAACTGGGCTTGCCTCCAAGCCTGGGATGCTGCTGGGACATCCATGGAAGGAGCTGCATCTCCCCTCCCTCCCCGCCCGCACCCTGACCGAAGAGCACCCTCTCGGAGTGACTCTCTCCTCACTCACATTAGCACAGCCGGATCAGCAGTGCCTCTTCATTGGCGAAAGGTCAAGTCCAAAACATGTGACCTGCCAGAGGAGTTCAAATGGTGCCTCAATCCCCGTTAAAACGGGGCATAAGAATTTGGTAAGCCCAGCCGTCCAAGACCTTCAGAACTTTTTAGTCTGGAACCCCTACAGGACCTGCAGCTCAGCCAGCCCCCCACACCCTTAGCAGAAACTTCCCAGGGATCCAGCTTCCTCTGGTCCCTACAGCCTCACATCCCCACGGAGAGTGAACAGACACTTTGCCGAGCGTCCGGACCAGGCAGCCGGAATCTCCTGCGGCCTTGCTAGTCAGTTTTGTACTTGTGGCTGAATTTGCTTCCTCAGCCCACCAGCAGGTAAGCCAGCTTGGAAGGGGGACAATGACAGCTTTCCCCAACTCTGTCTGATGGTTGGAGGCACCTGATAGTCACCAAGAATCTGGCATGTTGGCTTAGATCGGTTTTCAATACCAAGAGAAGAGGTCCCAGGCTTGGAAGGGTGCTGTAGAATCCCAGTGCACATGAAGGCTGTCTCGGGGAGGGGAGGCGGCTTTGGAGGTGACTTGGAACCCAAACGCTAGAATGTGTGAATCAATTGTACCATATTTACTGATTTCATTATATTCCCTCCTCAAACACCAGGATTCACAACTTAAGACTTAATGGAAGAAAGAGTTGGGGGAGATCCAAGTGATGACAGAGGCCCTTATATTTATTACCCTCACGCAGTAAAACAGCAGAGGCTCCCGGTGACGTTTTCCACCCATGTAATAAGGGTTTCTGTCCAATGTGTTTCCATATCACACCCCTTGCACAGTTTTTTTTTTTTTTGCTTTGCTTCAGACACCATGGATACCAAGAGGCACAATTTTCCCGAGGCTCACGCTCCATCCAGATGCTCAATGCCCGAGGATTACAACGAGGAGGGCCTGTCACAGCCCAGGGGCACTCGTGGTTTGCATTGCAGGAAAATGTATAGAGCTGTAAGTTACCTACTAGAATTCTGTAGAAAAGGAACTTCAGGTGTTTTGGGGACAGGGGGAGATTGTTTTCTGCAGATGTGCCCGGGGCAGGGTTGCTTTATACGTTCTTCCTTCCCAGCATTTGGCCTTTCTGCCCTAAAGCTATCGTATCAATTCTTGCTCCCTCCAACTTAGAGCAGCTTCTCAAGTGACAGAAACATCAGAAATTACCAAAGGAAGCTGTTAAACATGTAGATTTCTGGGCCAGATTTAGAACTCCTGAAAGAGAATCTGCATTTTAATGAGTTGGGCCCCAAGAGCCTGCATTTTAATAGGCCAGGGCTAAGTAATGTAAATTAGATTTTTTTTTAAATGGAGAAATATAATCAGAAGAATAGCTTTGTGAATTTAATTCAGATAGTAATGAAGCAAACATCCATGTATGAACGAGACATGAAAATAAAGGTTAGGAAATAAAGCCATGGTGGTCCCTGGAAGCCCCCTGAAGGGCCTCTGGTCACTTGTGGCCCCTTACCCGCAACTCTAGGTAAAGCACTCTCCAGACCTTTGAAATACTCAGTGCCCTGCCTGTCACTATAGATCGTGGTTTATAAATGAATCCTAGAACAATATATTCTTTTGCTTATTTAAAAATTGCATGGAAATGGAATTGTACTTAACATATTGTGCCTTGCTGTTCTCACTGAATTATGGTTGTGTGGTTCCTGTGTTGTTCCACCTAGTTGTACTTTGCTGCTTTTCATTGCTGCGTAGTATTCCATTATGTGAAGATAACACACTTGCTCTATCATCAGGTTAATTTTGTTGATGAGGAAGGAGTGATTGAAGTTGAGTGATTGAAGAGCCCAGCTCCAGGGTTAGACAGCCTGTGTCTGAAACCTGCTTCTACCACCAGGGGGATCACTAAGGAAGCGCGGGCACGTGCATCTCTGTGCCTTGCTTTCCTCATCTGTAAAATGACAATAATAGTTCCTGTTTCAGTGTTGTGATAATTCAGTAAAGCAAATACATGTAAAGTAGTTAAAACTTTGCCTGACTCATACGAATACTTTCAGTTCAGGAATGGGAACTGGGATTTCCATCTTGCCAGATTCTTTGCAGTTTGAATTTGTGATGAGCATGTGGTACTTTTATGGTCCGTTAGTTAAACACAAACCTTTGCCCCACAGTTTTCACCTTCAGCCTCAGGCCCTGGACTTCAGCTAATGTGTGACTGAGAAGTGACAAACTGGGCAAGCCCTCACTGCCAACGCAGAGCGGAGTCTAATCCTTGACCTCTCCCGAGCAGCCTGGCTCAGCCACCCAAGTGGACATTATCTGACCTGCCAATGTCCTCTACAAAAGGCATAGCCAGACACACAGGAGGCAGGGGGATGTCAACACAGGGGGTGGACAGGGTTGGCATATGACTCCCATCACGTGATCTGGGGCCTCATTTTGCCCCTGCCCTCTGAGTGGGGCGAGCACAGGTCTCTCCGAGCACAGTGTCCTCCTCATCAGTAAAATGGGGCAAGAGGAGACTGAGACGAGAGCTCCAAGACCTTTCGCAGCGAGTTCCCTGACACTAAGGCTTTGGCTGTGGCCACTGAGGTGCTAGGGCAACCAGCCTGGGGGCCATTCTCTGGCACTGTCTCCTCCAGAGATGCCTCAGGGAGGGGCTGGTCCGACAGTCTTGTTGGCTTGGCTGCAGGGGAAGTGGCCGATTGACCAATGGCAAATAGGGGCCCTAGTGGAACTGTTCTCTCCCAAGATGAGCCCTGTTGGGAGGGCTGCACACCTGGCCCCTCGAGTTCATACCAACTAACTACCCCTCACTGGGAAGGCGATTCCTCCTAAAGCACCCACGGCCTCCGAGGAGTGGTAACCAACTGCCTGCTCCAGCTTCAACAATCTGAGGCCCCTCTGGCCTCCGCTCCGTGATGGAGGCCTCCAGCCCCCACCACCTGCCCTTTCCTCCCTCCTTCCCTGGACTCATAGTCGGCATCATCTTCCCGGTGAATAGAAAGCTGAGGGCAAGGGGCTGAGCCATCGCTGGTGCCACAATTGATGCTGGCCCAGGGCCAGCTTAGATAATACATCCCATCACCCTCGGCGCCCCCTCACTTCCTCTCGGATGGCTATGAGAAGCATCTGGGAAGTCAACAGCTGCTGCCTTCCACCCGGGAGGGCGGTGAGGTAATGCCCAGAGTCTGAGAGGGCCTGGGTGAAGGGCTCTGTGTGGAGGAGAGTGCAGCACTGTTTCTCCGGCTCCAGGAGCACTCGGCCGATGTCCTGGCTCCAAAGGGAGATGAAAAGTTAACGGGGTTTTCTTGCCTCCACAAAAGCATCTTTCATCCCACAATAGACTCCAGATTGGAGGGAAGATTTCAGTGCACAGCGGCCAGAGACAAGCGGCTCTGTTAAGTCCCTGACCACCCAACCCACTCGTTTCTGAGCTTCCTACTGTAACCCAGAAAGCTTGGGAGACGGGCACACGGAGTCCCACGGGAACGCTAATATGGAAGGATGGAGAAGCGAGAAAACGTTCAGATGTGACTGGGGCGGGCCCTGAAGAAGCAGGCTGTCACCTGACTGACGGGTGCCCTGGGACGCTCAAGGACTGGTGACTCTCTAAGAAGATAGGCAGCCCTCAGGAAAGCGGGCACCAGTCTGTTAGCAGGAGGGCGGAGGGTGAGGTCATCTGGGCTGAGCCCACTTAAGTGCCAGACAGCTGACCACTGCAAGGGAAAATGAAGCCATATAAGGTGGCAGAGGGGTACCTTCTGGCCCAGCCCTCCGCCTCCTGCAGCCGCTGCCTCCGCGGAGATGTGGCCGTGCTGGCCCAGAGCAGACAGGGGTAAGGACCTGGGAGAGGGGTCGTCTCACCATTTAACTTCTCAGAAGGCAGCCACGACGGCAACTCGAGGACTACGTTTTTACCGCTAATCGAATCCAGAACGGCCCGGGGAGAACATGGTACCTAGGATAGCCCTTCATTCCTTTTGACTTTGACATTTTTATTACATAAATAGTACCTTTCCAAAAATATTTTTTAGTGTACACATGATACCATAACCACTCTCCAGATGTAGTCACTATACTGTTGTGTCTGTCAAGGTCGTCTGGATACGTCTGCATATGCTCTTCTCTGCCCCGAACTGCTCCCGCCGACAGGTTCCGTACGGTGGAGATGTAGTCGCAGAGTTTAACTCCCGTAAATTTGACGATTTGTCTAAGTGAGCAGGCCCCAGGACAAGTGTGAGTGGGGTGAGTGGGGTAGTTTCAGTTCTCTCGTGATTCTAGTGCTTAAAGAAACAGTTTTCCCCTAAGTTCCTAAGGCCAGGGCAGAGACTTCTCACGGAACTTGAGAAGGGAGATGGAGCCCTGCTCCGGTGCTGAAAGGCTCCGCGTGCTGCTGCCACAGAGGACAATCCAGGCGAGAGGCCGTTTTGTCTTCAGCGCCACTCGGGACACAGCCCCGAGTAAGATGCCGCTAGCGGTCAGGCTCCGTTCCTGTTTTCCATTCTGTTTATTGTGGAGGTGGTTGCAGATCAGTGGCGAGAGCTCTGACTTGTTCTTCAGGTGCTCACTGCCAGCTGGTTCCCAGCGCGGACGTACGGGACGTCCTACGGAAAGAGTTCTATTTTTCACACCACGAAGGAAAGAGAAATGTCACCATTAAAAAAGACACAAACTAAGAACAAATGTACAAACCAAGAATATAACATTTTATTTATCTCCAGATTATGAGTATTACACAGCATATACATATATTTAGATAATATATAAAACAAAGAACAAACCATAGAAAGAAATATTGGTCTGAAATGGACATGTTTAATTCTGTAAGTTCATGGTCATGTATGTCCCCACACGCTGGGGCAGGCAGCGGAGTCAACTCCAGCGATCACGCACCCTCCACGGTACTCACAATGCACTACGGATGGCATGGTCACTGGTGTCTGCGACAAGGGACACCAAGTAGTAGATAAAAGAACCACAACACAGTGAACTAATGTAAATATTTGTTTTTCTGCATTGTCCTCCAGATAGTTTCCTTTTTAAACTAAAAGTCAGGTCCAGGTCTACCCCTTGAGTTGCATTCCAGTTATTGCTAGAGGAAAACAAACAGAAAAGAGGCATCAATTCAAGTTACTAGAAAACAGGTAGTGGGCACCACTGCCCCTAGCTCTGTGACACGGAGGGCAGGGGAAACTGAGCGCTGGGGGACACACGTCAGCAGCAGGCCGGCGGCAAGCAGCGCCACGTGTCAGAGGGGACAGCAGTGGGGCTGACAAAGAGGATCGATGGAGCCCGTGAGCAGCAAGCAACACAACGACCCCACCATGTCACACCCCCAGGAGTGGCAGGATCACCTCGTGGAGGTGAAGGTGGAGAGAGCGGAACAGAACACCTCACAGGATTACTCCTGATCCGGCCTGACTGGAGAAGACTTGGGCCCTTGGGATGCAAAGTACTCCATTCTCCATGTTAACAGAGAGGCTGTGCAGCTGACCTCAGAACAGGGCACTTCCAGGATCCTCCTCAGATGGAGGCTGCTTACCTTCGCCTTGTTCTGAACTGGGAGATAGAGTTTGAACTCTGCTGGCAGCTCATCTTCTGAGTACAGTCTGTCTGAGAAGTAAACCCGTCGGATGCGGCAGTTTGCGTGGATCTGTGGAGCCCAGACTTATTTTGAGAAACCAAACGTGACTGTGCATCCTCATCTCCTGACCCTCCTAGAGCTCCCCCATCCTCATGGTGCTGGGAAAGCTTCACCCCCTTGGCATCGCCTCAGCTTGGCCTGGGGTGGATTCGGACAAGAAGGAGACTTTACTCACCACATTCTCCCACTATACCTGAGCAGAATCCCGAGTATGTCCTGGAACTCTTTGAGGCCAAAGCCCCCTGGATAGTAACTTGGGAGCTTGGTCCAGAAACCCATTCTTCTGTCACATGGGACACAAGCCAGTGACAAAGCATCCCCCTGTCCCTTCTGGGGCTCCGTCTGGAAGAGGACCCAGTACCTGCACTCTCAGGGTCTCGATGTAATTGGTGCCGTAGGCCCGCCGAGTGAAGTCAGACAGGTTGAACTGAATCTGGTTCCAGCCGTCATCCAGTCGCATGGGCATGGTGCAGATGAACGGTTTGACCCGGGTGGTGCTCTGGTAGTTACTTGCCCGAAATCGCCGACGTACATTCTTGTCATCTAGTACCTGCGACATGGAGACAAGGGTCACACTCACTCCCCTCGGAAGAAGCTCCCATCTTGGTAAGGAGAGGGCCTGCACTGCCACAGGCCTGCTTCCCCAGGCTGAGGCCCGAGGGAGAATACCGGACACCGGGCACCCTGGAGGAGATGGCCTGGAAGTAGTCAGTTTATCTTATTTGTTGCCAAGACACCACCAGCTGCTTATGACATATGACACACCCGTCAGGCTCTCAGGCTATAGAATAATTTCATAAACATTATTCCCTTAGAGAAATTAAAAATACTAGAATAGAGACCAACAATAACCCAGTATTAAATGGTTACCTCCCAAATGGACACTATTCTAACCCTTAAGCTTTGAAATTTTGGCACTATGGTTAGATTACTAATACCAAATGTATGTCATAATAATAAGGGCTGAATCAAGTTTACAGCACAGGCAGAAAAGAGGATATTTCCCTATAGGTTGACAGGACACCTCTCTGGTACAGCCAAGAATATGTCTATGCATGTGGACACACTTACCTGAACTTCAAAAGTAAAATATTTCTTCAGGTTTTTAATAATCATGACAAGGAATGGAAGCTTAATTCCCAATGTCTTCTTTGGGTCTGCAGGACATGTGATGTAGGTGGTGCTGTAGGCAGAGGAAACACCAATAAACACTACTGATTTCTTCCTCTGTGGTGTGCACAGCAACAACACACGACCCAGGAGGATAAACCGGAAGCAGATCTAAAAGATCCAGACACACTGACCAATGAAGCCCTCAACCCTTGTGAGCTAATGCTTTAGAAAACGCTGGATGCCCTGACCAGTTTGGCTCAGCGGTTAGAGCATCAGCCTGTGGTCCAGAGAGACCCGGGTTCGGTTCCCACTAAGGGCATGTACTTCAGTTGCAGTTTATCCCCGGCCCTGGTTGTCGTGCGGGTGGCAGCCACTCGATGTGCCTCTTTCACATCAATGTTTCTCTCTCTCTTCCTCTCTCTCCCTCCCACTCTATCGGAACAAAAAATGGAAAAATGTCCTTGGATGAGGAGAAAGAAAAGAAAAGAAAAGAAGAGAAGAGAAGAGAAGAGAAGAGAAAAGAGAAAAGGGAGGGAGGGAGGGAGGAAGGGAGAGAGAGAGAGAGAAGAAAGGAAGGAAGGAAGGAAGGAAGGGAGGGAGGGAGGGAGGGAGGAAGGAAGGAAGGAAGGAAGGAAGGAAGGAAGGAAGGAAGGAAGGAAGGAAACGCTGGACCTTGGCCAGGCAGCTTGGTTGGCTGGAGGGTCATCCTGTACACCAAAAGGTTTTAGGCTCAATTCCCGGTCAGGACATATACCTGGGTTGCGGGTTCAACCCCCAGTTGGGGCGTGTAGAGGAGGCAACTGATTGATGTTTCCCTCTCACATCGATGTTTTTCTCTCTCACTTTCCCTTCCTCTCTCTCTCTAAAAATCAATAAAAATATATCCTTAGGTGATTAAAAAAAATGTTGGACTGCAAAACAAAATCTCAACACAGGACTTAGACACCAACAATACCTGAAAAGCAAATCCAGACCAGTGTATCTGAGGAAGTTTCTTTGAGTGAGAGAAGGTCCAATTCTGGTCCAAGAGAACCAACAAATGACAGAAAGCCAAAACACACACCATTTGGGCACCAAAAACCAGTGGCCATCCACTGGATCAGTGCGACATTCCCACCCCCAAAGCACACACACACCCACCTTGGTTACATTAATAATAATAATAATAACCAATACTTGCACAGCACTTAATACGTGCTAAGCAGATTCTAAGTGTTTTATACATATTCACTTATTTAATCTTCACAATAACCCTACAAGAAAGATGTACTGTTATTATTTTGCAGGTAAGAAAATTAATGCCAAGGGGACTGAGCAGCTTGCCTAAGGTAAGCTCTAAGTAGCAGAGCTGGATTCACACCAGGCAGGCTGACTCAGCGGGCTATGCCATTCACCTCTGCGATGTACCACCTCCCTGGAGTACAGTGTCTCTGGGGAACAGAGTGGCAACCTACCTGACATTTGTTCCTTCGATCTCTAGCACCAGAGACTGGATGTCATTATCAGTGATTCTTTTGATGTGGCCATTCCGCACCTACAAGGAAGAAAATTAAACTGGTTAGTACTGAAATATTTGGCAAAAACTTTGTTAAGATTTTGAAGGCTGAATGGGAGCATTAAAAAAACAACAACACAGTGGCCCAAAGGAAGATAACATGGAAGTTTGTGACATGCTGTGTTGAAGCTTATATATAAATAAACCATGCTATGACTGCCACACAGGGTCCCATCAACCACCAAAGGAATAAGTAACTTGGCAATCTATAAATCAGGATAAATTCCTTCCCAAAGAAATCAACTCAATTCACTTTCAGCTAACATTTAATGAGTTCCTACTATGCATTTGAACATTCATATACATTCTCTCATTTAATCCTGCCAACAGCAACAACAATCACAAGGCAGGTAGCATCATTTCCACTTCACAGATGTGGACCCCGACACCCAGGGAGTGCAAACGACAGCTCTAAGTCAGAAAGTCAGGGCTGACGGACAACCAGCCTTGCCACCGCCCCACACATTTCTTCAGCCAGGAAGGCCAAATACTGAGCTGTCAGAGGAGCAACCAAAACATAAAAGCACTACTCGCCCAGCTTCTCTCCCACTCCACACCTTTCTTAGCTTCTCTTCCCCGAGCTTCTACTTTTTCAAGTATGAACTCAAGTCCCATCTGTGCCACATCCAGAAGCCTCCTAAGCATTTTCAGCCCACACTGACCTTTCTTCTCTGATTTGTTTTCCCGGCTCAAATAGCCCAGACAACACAATGTAGCACTTCATCCTACATTGTTTTGTGTTGTTTGCTGCATATGTAGGAGGTGCAAGACGGGAAGGAATCAATATTCGATACAGATTCCTTCTCTCAGAATATTTAGGAAAGAGGAATCGTCTTCAAGCAATCAACTCTTCAGCACCTAATATGGACAGAGCAGAGATGTGCAAAGATACCTCTGAGACAGGGCTGGACTGCAAGGGCTGAATGTACTAACAATGAAAAAGATCAACTGGCTTTAGAGAGGGATTCATCAGAAAGACTTATGTGGCCTTTTCCTAGGGATAGTGAAGGTGGCTGTGTTGGGCTGTCTGTCGTGTTTAATGATGCAATCATTTGGCTTCCCATTAGATTTGCCTAAGGGAGAGAACAGTGTCCAGTCTGCCTGATAGCTGTAATTTTCAACACAGGTTATTAATAATGTCATCCTATGTTTGGACATCAGTCTCTGAGCTCTGTTACTGTGAAGTTGATCCACTTGTGGTGCGCTTGGTGTCCCCCGGGTGACATCTAATATCACTGGCCATCTTTTTGTACTAGACGCAACTGAGTCTTATCTCCTCAAAAAAGTGTAAGCTCGGGGGTAGGGATCAAGTAGTAAGTATCATCGGTATCTTCCACAGTGCTTAGTACTGTGCTATACATAAAGTCAGCATCCAAATATATTCTGACTTCTGGAATCTGTCACTCGAAGAGTTGGCACATATGAATGGTTTCAAGGAGGATTTAAAAAAAAAAAAATTCCTGGGTAACATATCCACCATGGGCTATTATGGGAAGCCAGAGATCCTGGGGTATATCACCAGAGCCTGTGAGACCACCAACAGAAAGAATGCTTTCCCACAAATCATCATTTAGTACCCATGGTCAGAGACAGACTGCCGGGTGGATGGGCCCCAGATCTCTGCTGGCATGGCCTTTCTTGGGTTCTCAAGACAAACATCACATTGAAGTGCTTCTTAAACAAACTGCTGACATCCAATGCCCTCCTACTTTGAATTCTAGGCCTCTTTCCAAGGGAGATTAAGAGCACAAAAGCTTGGCTCTTGTAGCACATGCCACCACTGCCCACCTCATTCCCCATGTAAAAGCTCCCATCCACAGTGGCGATAATCTTCCTCTAGCTGCTAGCCACAGCTGCTGTGGGAAATTAGACAGTGTTGGTGAAGGAGGGCTGAGTCATAAAATTATCTCCAAATAATGTGACTCAGCCACATTGATAACAGCTGGCAGTATTCTACCAAGATGCAAACACCAATTTTGCAACATACCGCCGATTATTCTCTGTAATGTAACTTTGTTCTTTCTTTAAAAGGTAGCCCTGGCCGGTTTGGCTCAGCGGTCAGAGCATCCGCCTCCGGTCCTGAGAGACCCGGGTTCGGTTCCCGCTAAGGGCATGTACCTCGGTTGCAGTTTGTCCCCGGCCCTGGTTGGTCGTGCGGGTAGCAGCCACTCGATGTGTCCCTTTCACATCGATGTTTCCCTCTCTCTCTCTTCCTCTCTCTCCCTCCCACTCTGTCTGTACAAAAAATGGAAAAATGTCCTCGGATGAGGATTAAAAAAAAAAAAAAAAAGGTATATGAAGCCCTGGCCGGTTTGGCTCAGCAGTTAGAGCGTCAGCCCTCGGACCAAAGGGTTCTGGGTTTGAATCCTGATCAAGGGCATGTACTTGGGTTGGAGGTTCAAACCCCAGCCCTGGTTGGGGTTGTACAGGAGGCAACTACTCAATGTGTCTCTTTCACATCGATATTTCTCTCTCTCTCTCTCTCTCCTCCCCCCTTTCCACTCTATCTAGAAATCAACGGGGAATATATATATATATATATATATAGTCTCTCCTTGGATGAGGATTAACAAAAAAATAAATAAAAATTAAAGTTACACAAGGCAGCATTCAAACAGATGGTTAAGTTGAAAGGATTCGGTAATTAGCGCCCAAAGGCTACTATTGCTAAAGTGCAATAAGTTACAATTTATACACATTGAGAAAGCATGGCCTCACATCTTACATCCCCGAGGTCTCTCAGGCCAGAATCAACAAGAAGCATCCCCAGCTCCAGAAGCCTAACCAGGATTCACAGGGAGGAAACGTCAGGTAACTTGCCTTCTGTCCATCTCAAAGTTTCTAGCAAATGACTTCACTCTAGAAAATCTGATTATTCAGGTCTTAACAGAAGAAAACAATGCCTTACGCTGCAAGCAGAAGCTAACAGGCTGGAAGCCAAAACAGACTTTCTGTATGTGTATCCCTATGCTTCTGCCCTAGACACAGCTAACTTTAAGTTGGACTTTCAATAACTTCCTAAAGAGAATTTTCTTTTAGCCAAACAGCAATAACCACACTTTCAAGCTTAATTCTTACAAAATTAGTTCATGTAGCCCTAAAACAAGAGAACTCAGAGGAACCAAGACAGCTTTTTCGAAGGAATGCCCTCAGTCTCTCTAGAGCTTTAACCTGGTTGGTGGCAAAGCAAGCAAACAGAGCTTTACCCAAGGAGAAAGTCCAGTCCTCAGAGAAGAAAGACACAAGTATTCTCATATCACAAGCTGCCAGAGCTCTGAAATCAAATTAAGTTGATTTGTTAGTGAATTATGATTTTTTTTTCCTTTATTAAGTTCAAGGGCTGCAAATACAAACTCATGGGAAGAAAAGAGTGGGGTGTGGATGGAGGTGCAATTAGTCAGAGATCTGAGCTCTTAGAGTGTGGAAAACCTCCCAACCCTCTTTTCTCGGCTCTAAAACGAGGATGAAGGGGAAGGGTATGGACAATTTGGGGCAAGGCTTCCTAATCACCCTGCAATCTGGCTCATGTACATTGCAAGGTCTTCCAGGAAGCAACCCTTCTGCTCAGTCCAGCTTCTGACAAACACGGATAACAAGACACATGGCCTCAGAAAGCATCAACTTCCTTTCCTTAGCTCCTTCCAGTTCAGAGGTCACTAGGCAGGCCTGGCTTTGCAACAAGATAAAGTGAACTGGTCAACATGGATTGCTCATAGTGGAAGCAGGTATTTTTTATTTCCCTCTCTAAAATAGAAAGTGCCAATTATTTTTTACTTATTATGTGTTTTGTTTTTTTTAAATTTCATAACACATTTCCACTATTAAAGTGTGGCCTACAAGTGTTTTATTTCTCAAAAAATAAATAAAGCCAATTTTACATTTCTAAAAATTTCAGCCCTGGCCAGTTTGGCTCAGCGGTTACAGCGTCGGCCTGCGGTCTGGAGAGACCCGGGTTCAGTTCCTGCTAAGGGCGTGTACTTCGGTTGCAGTTTGTCCCCGGCCCTGGTCGGTCGTGCAGGTGGCAGCCACTCGATGTGTCCCTTTCACATCGATGTTTCTCTCTCTCTCTCCCTTCCTCTCTCTCCCTCTCACTCTATCTGTACAAAAAATGGAAAAATATCCTCGGGTGAGGATTAAAAAAATAAAATAAAATAAAATAAAATAAAAATTTCATGAGCCCCCCGCCCCCCACCAGCTACAAGCTGGAGGTACTTTAGGAGCTTCAGAACCCAGGCTGCAGACAGGTACGAGTCAGAATGGTTCTCAGCCTCTGCAGACACAGGAAAGGAGCCATCAAGCCCTTCTTGATTCACTCTCCCAGGCTTTAGGTCCCAGGGAAGAGGGTCAAGTTGAGGGGGAAAAACACTACTGGGAGAGGGAGGAAGCTGGCCAATGTTCTATATTTCTACAGGTGCTTTAAAAAAATAACACATGAGCCCTGGCCGGTTTGGCTCAGCAGTTAGAGCACTGGCCTGCAGACCAAAGAGTCGCGGGTTCGATTCCGGTCAAGGGCATGTACCTCTGTTGCAGTTTGTCCCTGGTCCTGGTTGGGGCTGTGCGAGAGGCAACCAGTCGATGTGTTTCTCCCACATAATGTTTCTCTCTTTCTCCCTCCTTCCCATTCTATCAGAAGATAAACAGAAAAATGTCCTCGGGTAAAGATGAAAAAAATAAACAAAAACAAAAATAAAAGACACGTGAGCCCGGTGAGTGTGGCTCAGTCGTTGAGCACTGACCCATGCACCAAGAGGTCGTGAGTTCGATTCCCATCAGGGCACACACCCGATCCCCAGTAGGGGGTGTGCAGAAAGCAGCCAATCAATATTTCTCTCTCACATCAATGTTTCTATCTCTATCTCTCTCTAAAAAATCAATAAAAACATATTTAAAAATAAAAATAAAAATAACATGAGTGGTATCCATTCCCAACCTCCAACTTTTGTGTTTTTTTTGTGTGTGTGTTTTTCTGGCTGCACCCACTTATCCTGGCAGAGGGCTGAGCCTCCAGCCATCTGGTAACCTAATCTTAGTGACACATGTTCCAATTTACATTAAGCCATTAGAGCTGTCCATTTCAGCAAAACCATTTCTGCTAGGGGCTGGGCTCAGTCAGAAAACAGGCAGAGGGAGACCTCTGTGGGGAGAACTGGGCATAGCTCCGACTTAAGGCTTTGGCCTTGGCCTTGCAGGCTCCAATGGGCCAAAGGCTTCTCTCTTTTTGCTACACTTAAGAGGGGCAACCCAGACAGACAGGCAACTCTGGGCATATACAATAAACCCTTAGTTAAAGGACAGTTCTGTGCATTGCTAACCAATCTCTTCCTAACAGTGCCTTGAAAGGGCAAGTATAAGTAAAATCCAGGTCTTCACCCAATTAGAGTAAAAGCTATTTCTTAGAAAATGAAGAATATCATCAGACTGACCCAGGGAGAGTCTGAAAAAATAGTTTCACTATCTTTACGTCCAAATGCTCTCAATTCTACTACTGGAAACAGCATCAGTTTAACATGGACCAACAACGTTTACTAATTAGAAGCTAAGGCGTGGAAGCTTTTTTTCCGGAGACTTTGTTCACTTGTTAAATTAGGAACAGGAAATGGGAATCTAATACCATCCAGCAATAAGCACAGAACTTGGGTTCTAATATCCAGTTTGGGAATAGGGGGGTCACAGCAGCTGAGAGAAAGACAAGGTGAGAGGAGAGACAGAGGCGCTTGTATGAATTAACATTCTCATCTGATAGACTTCTAGGGTATTACCAGTAAAGGCTGAAAATGATGTTTTACACAGACATTAAATGGGAACAAAACCTCCTGGTGTTTTCTTTACAAACAAGAAGTAATGTTTACATTACAAGGAAGAATCTTTTAATAAAAGTAATACTTGCTGGGCTGAGAAATTAAGGAAACATTAAGAAACCCCTAATTTCTCCTAAGCTCTTGGTTTGAAAAATTGCAAAGGTCTCTATTAGAAAGCTTACAGTCTAGACAGGAATACCGATCTTAAGAAGCTAATTTCAAGTGTGACTGAGAGCCCTGGCCAGGTAGCTCAGCTGGTTAGAGCATCATCCTGATACACCAATGCTGCAGGTTCGATCTCCGGCCAGCGCACAGACAAGAAGCAACCCATGAATGCATAAGTAAGTGGAACAGCAAATCAAGGTTTCTCTCTCTCTCTTCCCCTTCCTCACTCTCTCTAAAATCAATAAATAAAAAATCAAGTGTGATTGAGTATGATGAAAAGGAAGTAGAGATTCTGCAATCAGGCAGAAATTAAAAACAGAGGAAGTGCCTTTAAAGCTGTGACCTAGAGACTAATGTAGAGGTGGAGGCCCGGTCCCAGCAGAGGGACAGGCAAGTACAAAAGCCTGAAGCTGAGAAAGGATAGGTCTTCTTTCAGTTCAGCAGACGGGAGCCTAAGGCAGGTGAGCCTGGAGAACTAGGTAAGAAGGAACTCGACCATGCTAGGGTTTTGGACTGGAAAGTAAAATGACTAAATTATTCCAATTTCAGAAATCTGGTCGTAATATACTTCCTATTCCTCAGCATCTGAATATTGAGCTCAAACACAAACTTTTTTACTCTTGAGCAAATTCCTTAGTTTCCTGCCCTATTTAACACTGTATGCCATACTCTGTTGCTAAGCATTTTACATACATCTGCATTTATTTATCTATTTTAAATTATTTTTTTAATCCTCACCCGAGGATATTTTTCCATTTTATTTTCAGATAGAGTGGGAGGCGGGAGAGAGAGAGAAAAAGACATCAATGTGAGAGAGACACATCGATTGGTTGCCTCCCGAATGACCTCAACCAGGGCCAGGGACAAACTGCAACCGAGGTACGTGCCCTTGACCAGAATCAAACCTGAGACTCTGGTCTGTGGGCCTGATGCTCTAACTGCGAGTCAAACTGGCCAGGGATGCGTACATCTTCATTTAATCTCCATAACAATGAGGTGGCATTGCCACAAGATGAGAAAACTGAGTAAATACTTGCCCAAGGTTCCGCAGCAGAGGACCCGAGATAGAGGAGACAAAGGACACAAATCCAAGGTGTCTGATCACACTCCAGCACTTGGGTTTCAAGGTAAGAGACTATTCTTCCCCTTAAGGAACTTAAGTCTAGTGGGAGATACTTCACTTAAGCTCTCAGTGTAATAATGTTTCAAGTTAAGATTTGAAGGATAAGAAAGGAAGAGGGGCTGTGAACCTCAAAGAGTTGGATAAACACAGATGTTGCAAATGTAACCACACCCACAAATATGGAGTTTGCAAATTCACTGGTATTTTGAATGACATTCACTCCTCAGATTCATAAGGAGACAGAGCCTAAACAGAAACCAAACCTAATTTTTTCAAGATTCTTCTTCACAGAAAACAAACTGCAAAAATTCTCTCTCCATAAACTCAGGAAGGAAAATAGGAAAGAAAAATAATAACTGAAAATACGCACTAAAGCCAATATGCACCTACTGGCAAAGGTCAGGGTCATTTTTTGATAAATGTGGACAGTCCTTCCCTTTCTCCATCAAGCTATGCCCTCATTCCCAGGAGCAGGGAAAGTATCTTCTCTAATTTTGTACCTCTCCCAAATCTACACAATGCCTGTTACTTAGCCATTGTTCAATAGATCTTTGATAAATATATCAATTCCCAGTGTTTCCCTGACCAAACTGGATTCCCAGCACCTTCTGAGGACTTGCTAGCACCTCTGAGAAAAGGCATGCACACACAACAAAGCCTGTGTATCTGGCCTCAAACTCTCCCTTTTCTCCCTTTCCTGCCCTTGCCCCAGGGGGAGAATTTTGCTTAAAATGAGTGTTCTAAAGTTTTCTTCGCAAAATTTACTCCATATAACCTGCTGATCGATCTAATAATGTATCCACACGTGTTTATGTCATTACGGTACCATCTGACCTCTAGTGGTGTTGTTAAGGGACACAATGCACCATGGTTACTTTGCTTTTTATATTTCATGTGTAAACATGTTGACTAGTCAAAAAGCTGTATTAGAAAAATAACTACAGAAGATCAAACCCAGAAGGGTTAAAATGGGCAATTCTGATAAAAGTTTCACCTAATAGCCCTGGCCAGTTTGGCCCAGCGGTTAGAGCGTCGGCTCACGGACCAGGGAGTCCTGGGTTCGGTTCCCGCTAAGGGCATGTACCTCAGTTGCAGTTTATCCAGGGCCCGGATTGGGGTCGTGTGGGTGGCAACCAGTCAATGTGACTCTGACATCAACGTTTCTCTCTCTCTTCCCCAGTCTCTCCCCCCTGCTCTATCTGGGGAAAAAAAAAATTCACCTAACAGAAATGCTGAGGCCTCCAGAACACTGAATTCTTTCAGTGTAAGTTCTCAGACCTGCTCTGAAAACCTCTCCTCCTAGATCAAGTCCTATTCTCTATTTCAGTTGCCTTATACTGACACTTTGTTACAATTCCAAGTTCAGCTGGCACACAAGGCTACTCTCTCCATGCCTTCTGACAGCCGGTATCTAAGTCAAGCCACAGCTGAGAAGCCTTACAAAGTTCTTAGTTTTCTGGTATACTCACGACATGCAATTTCAGAGTTTGCGATGTTTTATTCCAAGGTGAACAAAAGCATGCAACTGCAAACCTCAGTAATGTAAGAAAAAGATTAAGGACCTGCTTTCCTATGCAATACTCGGGGCATTAGCTCTAGATTGTGGATAGCATCATTGTGAGACGGCAGAGTTGGTCAGATTTCTCACTTATGCATAAATCTCAAAATCATTACATTCAAATCTTACAACTGTCTTACAAAAATGACATTATGAGCACACCACCCTCGAAGCTGCTTTTAGAATGCAGAACAACTCAGTGGGAACAGGCAGAAGGCTGTCCGTGTCCTCTCCCAATCTCATTGAGACCCAAAACTCTCATCTGTGGGTAAGGGAAGACAAAAAGTCATTCTGAGATAAAGTCCAAAGTTCTTGGCTTCATTACCAATAAACTTAGAGTATTCCACATTCATCTCTATAAAAACACCACTAGACATACACCTGTCTTCATTCTCCCCTGAAGAGAGCAGTACTGTTACATCCTAAATTACCAGCCTTTCACAGTAGAGTGCAAATCTTAACTTATATTCAAAAAAGGGTGAAGCTGTCTGTCAGGGAATATGCATGAGAAATATCAAAGTAATAAAATGCAGACCAACTCACAGGCTGCTAGAAACAAGCCCCCTACTCAACATCTCCAAAAAGTAGCCAGGGTCATCACCTCCTGGGGTCAGTGAAAGGATCTTCTGGGGATGCCTGAGGAAAGATAATGAGGCTTATACTCGGCTGTGAATTTACTAATCCAGACAAGACTTTAATCACCATTTTGCAATTTTCCTAATGGAGAAATCAGGTACAGACCCCAGTCACAGGGAGTGTGGAACAGGCGCCAAAGGCCACCACAGTCTGACCTTTTGCAATCAGCGAAAAGGAAGGGAGCAAACGAAAGAAACTCAAACCTAACTGGTTCTGGATGCGCCTCAACAAGGGTGCCTGGAACAAAGGCCCTGTGTCTGGCGCCCAGCACGGCGCCTGGCACAAAACAGGGTATCGGTAAATATTTGTGAAATCAGTGAACAGCAGTGGCTTTCCTCTATACGTTTCCACAACAACCTCAAACAAGTTGATGCCTTTCGTGCTGTGAGAGAGGCACTATCCACCGCACTCTCTAGACGGGGAGACCGACGCTGAGGCACTGGCTGATCCAGTCAAGTCTGCCGCCAGGGACCCCTGACCTCACCCCACCTCGGCCCCTGGACTTTCGAACCCCAGACACTCTCACCCCCCATGGACCCCATGCTGCTTACGCGACGCCCCCACCCTCCGTCTGGCATCCCCAGACCCCAACTCGACACCGCCATCCGCCGCCCCGTCCCCAGCGCCGGGGCGAGAGGCCCCTTACCTTTTTGTCCCAGATCTGCAGCGGCTTGCTGCCGATGCTGTAGAGGATGGAGAGGAAGCCGCTCTGGAACGTGTTTTTGAACATCTTGCAGGCCGCCTTCTCCTCGGCCGCGCCGGAGCCACCTAGATTTGGACACCAAGTGGCGAAGGTACAAGAGGGGCCGGAAAAAGAAGGGACACTGCGCGGCTGACCTCCGGTCCGCGGCCACCAACTCCTGCACTTGAACGCGGGACGCGACGTCCGTGGGCTTCTCCTCCCAAGCACGAGAAGGACCCGGGACGGAAACCACAGCAACTGCCTCCCGCGCCGCGCTCCCGCCTTAAAGGGAGGCGGCGTGCCAGCGCAGCGCGATAGATCCCTCCGCCCCTCGAGCCCGCCCCCTGGGGCGCAGGGCCCAATCCCACCACGGGGATCACGGACTTCCTGTTTCTTCTGCCCTTAAGCCCTGCCCTAGTTCCGCCTCCTGGTGGAAAGAACCCCTTTGCCAAGGGACTATTTTTTTATCTTCATCTGAGCGGCTTTTGGAAGAGGAAGGAGACAGGGTAGGATAGAAGGTGTTGTTGCACCTGCGCGGTGTCATGGGAACCTGGCGGGGGTGGGGTCAGGGGGCGGGAGGGCCAGGGCCAGGCCCCGCCCCCTGAAGGGCGAGGAGGCGTTACAAGCGCAAAGGAAAAGTGGCCAAAGGCGCTTGAGGTGAGAGGTGGCTGAGCAAGTGCCTACCTGAAATCCTGCCAGTGCCAAGTACTGTGCTTGTTGGCCTAGTACACGGGAAGGGTAAAGCAGCTGACCTGTATTGAGCAGTAACCGTGCTAAGCGCCTATGTGCATCATTGCTTTCATTATTCACAGGGCTGCTATGCATACACCGCACATAAGTGGATATGTGGAATGCAGGCAAAGCAGTACTCTGAGGCCCGGTCCGTGTGGCCCAGTGGTTAGCGTGGACCCAAGAGGTCACTGGGTGGATTCCCGGTCAGGGCACATGCCCAGGTTGTGGGCCTGATCCCCAGGGGGAGGGGGGGGGCATGCAGGAGGCGGCCAGTCAACGTTCTCGCTCATGGATGTTTCTATCTCTCTCTTCCTTTTCCTTCTCTCTAAAATCAATAAAGAAAAAAAAATAATGCATTTAAGGCAATATTTTCCTCAGAGTATTGCTTTTTATTTTTTTCTTTTGATTTTGAGGATATATATTTATCCTCACCAGAGGACATTTTTGCATTTGTCTCCCTCCCTCCTCTCCCTCCCTCCCCCTCTACCTGACAATAAATGGAAAAATATCCTTGGGTGAGGATTAAAAATAAAAAGACATACACTATGATATTGCATGTGTAGAAGAAATCTAAAATGTTGGGGACCACTCACTGAGCATCTACCTAAATATTATACTCCATGCCCAGGCCTGTACTGGGTATTGTGGCTGAAAGAAAGGGAGTTTGCAGCTAACTTCATCCTCGTGACAGCTAGTAGTAGCTGATATCGACTGAGCATTTATTATGTCTGGCACTACACTAAGCGCCTTAGCTTTTACTAAATCATTTAATCTTCACAGCAACCTGGTGAACAGTTGAGCCAGAATTTCCAGACATGGGGGCAGGGGGATTGTATTACAGTAGAAAATCAAATTTTTTAATCTATTTTATTTATTTATTTTTATTAATTTATTTTTGTTACAAATTTTCTCATTTGAAAATCAAATTTTTTTACATGAAACTGTTATTTTTGAATAATTTCTGGGGACTCTGTATACTTTAAGCCAGTGTACAATTTATCCCTTGATTGTTAGTAAATGTCTCAAAATATCGTAGGAAGAGACACAATTATTATTATACATTAGATATTCAGGTGCACTGCATTTATTGCAGGATTTTTCATTCTGCTCCACTGAACACTGACACCACCAAATGCTGGCGAGGATGTGCAGCAGCAGGAACTTTCATTCTGTGCTGGTGGGAATGCAAAACGGTGCAGCCACTTTGAAAGACAATGTGGTAGTTTCTCACAAAACCAAACATACTCTTACCACAGGATCCAGTAATCCCACTGCTTGATGTTTACCCGAAGGAGTCGAAAACTTACGCCCACACCAAAACCTGTACATGAACATTTATAGCAGCTTTATTCAAAATTGTCAAAACATAGATGCAACCAAGATGTCCTTTGGTAGGTGAATAGATAAACTGGTACATGCGAAAAATGGAATATTATGTAGTACTAAAGAGAAATGAGCCATGAAGCCATGAAAAAATATGGAGAAAACTTAAATGCATATTACTAAATGAAAAAAAGCCAATCTGAAAAGACTACACACTAATTCCAACTATATAACACTCTGAAAAAGGCAAAACTATAGAAACAATAAAAAGATCAGTGCTGCCCTGGCCGGTTTGGCTCAGTGGTTGGAGCATTGGCCTGCGGTCTGGAGAGACCCGGGTTCGGTTCCCACTAAGGGCACGTACCTCGGTTGCAGTTTGGCCCCGGCCCTGTTTGGGTCGTGTGGGTGGCAGCCACTCAATGTGTCCCTTTCACATCGATGTTTCTCTATCTCTCTCTCTCTCTCCCTCCCACTCTATCTGAGCAAAATATCAAAAAATGTCCTCGGGTAAGGATAAAAATAAATAAATAAACAAATAAAGATCAGTGCTTGCCAGGAGTGGGGGTAGGGGAGTGGGGAAAGATGACTAGGTAGAGCACAGAGGACTTTTAGGGCAGTGAAAATAATTTTGTAGCACCTCCCCGCCACCAACTATTTGTCCCTCATACTCTTTGTTCTTTAAAAATAAAATTATAGCCCTGGCCGGTTTGGCTCAGCGGTTGGAGCGTCGGCCTGTGGTCCAGAGAGACCCGGGTTCGGTTCCCACTAAGGGCACGTACCTCGGTTGCAGTTTGTCCCCGGCTCTGGTTGGGTCGTGCGGGTGGCAGCCACTCGATGTGTCCCTTTCACATCGATGTTTCTCTCTCTCTTCCTCTCTCTCCCTCCCACTCTATCTGAACAAAAAATGGAAAAAATGTCCTCGGGTGAGGATAAAAAACAAAAAATAAAATTATATATAAAATATATATATAATTGATTTTAGAGAGAGGAAGGGAGAGAGACATCGATTTATTGTTCCACTCATTCATTGGTTGATTCTTGTATATGACTTGACTAGCGATTGAACCCACAACCTTGGCATATTGGGACGGTGCTCTAACCAACTGAGCTACCTGGCCAGGGCACTCTGCTTTATTCTTTTTTTCATAACACTTATCACCACTTGATAGTCTATATAATTATTTGTTATAGTCTATATAGTTATAAGTGTGAGTCGAATTTGTGAACCAGAGTCACAGAGTTGGGGTTCCTGGTCACTGCAGGCGCAGCACAGGCTGTCTCTCCTGGCCTTAATGGACCCATGCAGACAATACTGATCTTCTTTTGTTCAGAAGGGCTCACCTAGCCCATTGCCTGCTCACATTTTTCTTATTAACCATGGAATCTCTCCACTTAAGATGGAAAGACCTTGAGCATGTGTAGGCGTAAGTGCCCGGAACAGATAGCCTATCAATGAGCAAACTAATGAAGGAAATGAAAGTTCTTGCTTCTTCTAAGTACTCATCTTCAGTGAGTGTCCACATGAACTGTGCTCAGTTCTTCCTTCTGTTAGGGTTCAAAATTTATTGTGATTACAGCCTTGGCTACAGTAAAGATTATTTGATGAAAGGTTTGGAGAACAGGAATTAGCGTTTATAATGAACATGTTTTGCTCCTATTATAGACTTGATTTTGACATGCTTCTTCCAGATTCAGACTGTGTCTTCTGGGCCCATGTCACAACACCCAGCATAGTACCACCAACATGAATAAATGAACGAACTAACAAACTAGAGCCAAATGGTCACCTCTGACATTTACCTTCATTTCAAAGGTAATGTAAACAGAATTAACCTAAAACTGCAGCTGTCATTCACAAAACACATTAAACACTACTTCTTCAAGACTGTCTCTCTCATGTCGGCCATGGACCGAAGAGTCGCGGGTTCAATTCTGGTCAAGGGCATGTACTTCAGTTGTGGTTCAGTCCCTGGCCCTGGCTGGAGTCACGTGGGAGGCAGTGAGTTGATGTGTCTCTCTCACATTGATGTGTTTCTCTCTCTCCCTCCCTCCTACTCTATCTGAAGATAAATGGGAAAAAAAATATCCTCAGGAGAGGATTAAAAAAAAAGATTGTCTCATCAATGTGAAGATGTATAAGGACAAAACACAAGAAAAATCTTGTTCATAAGTTGCTTCCTTCAATGATTATATAAGTCAGTTTTAAAAAGTAATCAATGAGCCCAGCCAGTGTGGCTCAGTGGTTGAGCATCGACCCATGCACCAATAGTGGTCGCTGGTTTAATTCCTGGTTAGGGCATATGCCCAGGTTGTGGGCCCGATCCCCAGTTGGGGGCATATAGGAGGCGGCCAGTCAATGTTCTCTCTCATTGATATTTCTGTCTCTCTCCCTCTCCCTTCCTCTCTCTGATATCAATAAAGAAAAAAAATAAAAAGTAATCAATGAAAAGAGAGCAGAGTCTAATGAGGCAGCAAAATTACAATCTAGGTAGTAGGCACAGAAGCTAAGCTGATACAAATCAGGCCATTAAAGGTTGCAGAAAAGGTAAAATAATTGCATGAAACACAAGATAAGGGTGGTCTTGAGAATCCCATAACTACAAGAAGGGGCTTAGTTTGTTAGCCTGAAGTTTGGGTAGAACCATCACAAGAAGTAGCAACCAGGTCTGTGCTCAGCCCAGAATCTCTGACCATGAACAAATCACGGTCCTGCGTTTAGACTGAATATGTCACCTTAGTGGGGTAAGAGTCAAAACACACAAAGATATCACAGCAAGTAAATCAAACCCATATCAGTAATCCATGTCAAAATGAAGAATAAGTTTCTGATTATTTTGACATTTTGTTTAAGATATTTGAAATATTTAAGATAACTTAATGTATCTAAGGATCTGATACTTTAAAATTTAATTTGAAATGCTTCAAGGAATTTTAAATTAATTCTGATTTTTAATTAAAAATGCATAAGAAAATGTAATTGTTTGTAAACAATGAATGTTTAAAATGTTTTGATTGCATCTATGAGTTTAAGACTTGGATGTGTTAGTATTTGACTGCTTAGGAAGATTCCATCAGATTTTTTATCTTTCATGTTAGCTATTGGAAGTGTTTGTGCAAGTCAAACAGATTAAATGTGGGGGTGACTTTGAAATGTCTAAGGCAACTAGATTGTGTGTGAGCAGTTTGTGGTTTAACCAATTAGGTTTTTAATTAATTCAGCTTAATTAACCAATTAGGTTTTTAATTAATTCAGCTTAATTAAAAGACTAAGCCAAAGTGTTCATATTTATATACAAAACCAAGTAGTTTGTCATTATAAGATTTGTAAATTGATTTTAAAGACACAAGACAAATTAGATATTTTAATGTATAGCTTTAATAATCAAGATATTATTTAAGACACTAGGAAGTATAAGAATCCTTTTCAGTGTACAAAAGCCCTGATCAGGTCTGGCCGGTGTGGCTTACTGGTTGAGCATTGACCCATGCACCAATAGGTTGCCAGTTCGATTCCTGGTCAGGGCACATGCCCAGGTTGTGGGCCCGATCCCCAGGTTGTGGGGCATGCAGGAGGCAGACACTTGATGTTCTCTCTCATCAGTGTTTCTATCTCTCTCTCCCTCGCCCTCTAAAATCAATAAAGAAAAAATATTTTTTAAAAGAAGCCCTGGTCAGATGCTAAATCCCAGTGGACAGCATCTGTTCATGTCCATCCAAGCTCAGAAACTCAGAGCACCCAGCCTCTGAGAGACACAGGACTTGATACACACTATAAGGCAGAGTTTATTCTTTACCTCTCTTTGCTGATGGGGAGCAGCAGAAACAGCAATGATGGTACATTCAGCTGGCAGATGGAGGACCATGGAATCCAGTGGTTATATCAGCCCTGACAATAGGTAAAAGAGCCAGTGGTGGGCAGAGAAAGCTCCTTCTACTGTGAGAGTGAAGTTCAAATGGGACTCTGTTGGGCCCTCACACGTTATTATTTTTAAAATTAATTTTTAAACATACACACAATAAAATGCACTCTTTTTTGGTGTACAGTTTTGATGAAGGCACCAAGTCATATAACAATTGCCATGTTCAGGATACAGAACAGTTCCAAGACCCGCCTCCCCCTGCTCCCCCTCAATTCTCTCATGCTATCCCTTTCTAGTCAGACCTTCCCCCCACCCTCAATGCCCCCTTCACCCCTGGTAGTCATGGATCTGTTCTCTATCCCTACAGTTTTGCCTTTTCCAGATAGAATCATTCAGTAGGTAGACTTTTGAGTCTGGCTTCTTAGCACAATGCATTTGAGATGCACATTGTTTTAAGTTTGCAGAATATTCCGCAAAGCGTTGCTGATCCATTCCACCACTCAGCCTGTGATGGCCAGGGATGTTTTAAAAAGTTTGCCAGCCCTCCACATACTTACTTTTGAAGGCTTCTCCATAACATCTCAAACATATTAAAAGTTATCATATTCAAGATAACTTTTTTGTGTGTAATTTTGAAAAGAACTTTAGAATATGCTTTAGAAATTATTTGATTTTGTAGTTGTCTCTTTACAAATTATTTTTTTACTTAGTTTTTCCTTTATTGATTTTTAGAGAGAGAGAGAAGATAGAGGGGGAGACAGAAACATCGATGAGATAGAACATCAATTGGCTGCCTCCTGCATGCCCCCCACTGGGCAAGTGTTCTGACCAGGAATCGAACCAGTGACCTCTTGGCACATGGGTCGATACTCAACCACTGAGCCACACTGGCCAGGCACTAATTATCATTAGCAAAATATTTTAAAAAGTAAATACTGAATCTAACCATTAATGAAGTTCACAGGATTGGATAAACATTTAATCACACTTATTTTTATTTTGCAATTATGTTAGAGCCTTTTTTTTCAGGTCTCAAACATTTCTGTAGGCCCCTGGAAAGTCATAGGTCCTTGGCACCATGCCCCAAGTGCCTGACAGAGCCCCACAACAATTCCATGACTAAAGGTATCACGGTTCCAGCCCACACCAGTAAAAGAAGAAAATGGAAGACTGCTTTCTCTCAATCATAACAATGCCCTTTAAAAAAATTTTTTTAAAAATCATATGGCATAGTAATTTAAGTTTTTAAGAGTTTATCTCACAAAGATGCATACTGTGTAGAAAAATGTATGTGCAAATTTGTTCATCATAGCAGTTCTAGTAATAGTACTGATTAAGAGTCTATCAATAAGAAATTACTTCCACTGTGGTACATCACATAATGGAATATTATGTGGGCATGAAAAGGGATGAGGTAGATCTATATATGCTAACAGTAAGATTTTCACAATTAGGTGAAAACACAAGTTTCAGAAAAAGAATGTAGAGTTACATTTCTGTAAAAATAAAAGTCATTATAGTTTTAAAATGTTAGTCAATGTATAGGAAACAAATTGGAAGGTATATACCAAATTTAACTGTGGTTACCTCCAAGTTTTAGTATGCATGTGTATGTGGTTAGGGGTAGGCTTTCATTAGTTACTTTGATATAACGTGACATTTTACCATGAGCATATGTTACTTTGGTAATCACAAAAATACAACCCAAACACAAGCAGGACAACAGAAAGATGTGACTTGATGTTCTGAATCTCCAAGCACGTGTGGATAGCGTTAGACTGGTCTTGAGTTAGCAGGTTCCTTGTCCCTCTCTCTCAAGGCCAAAGCCACCTAAAAAAAAAGAAAGAAAGAAAAAAACACTCCTCTTTCCCCTTCTTTCTACAATCACTCTCCCACCAAGCAATCATCATCCACAAAAAACAAGATTAAAGTTGAGAGGATTCTGGAAAATAAGATGTTCACACTGAGAAGGGAAATTGGAGGACAAAGCTCGAGTTCAAGTTCGGCATGGCATCTAAAGAACTCCCAAACTAAGCACCGTGTATCTGCTCCGAAGAGACCTTTCCTGTCTGAAGGCCCTCAAACACCAGCGGGTCAACACAGCAATAATATGCTACGTAGATAAACGTGCACACATGAAGCACCGCATCCATAGGGGTTTCAGGGACATGCTCATTATAATGAGGTATTAAGATGCTATCCTAGAGATCTGTGAGACCAACAGAAATTTGCAGAACCGTAAGTCAAAAGGGCCTCATGAGAGACCGCTTGAGGACACTAGGCCAGTGATGGAGCTGGAAAGTACTAAGTCCATCCCTTTGGTGCCCTGGTCTTACAAAGTCTGCTGGAAGTGGGCCTGCGGGCCCTCACTTGTTGGAGTCCAGGGGCATGAAGAGTCTTGAACTCCCAAACCTGAGGAACTGCTTAGATAGGACAGAGCTGATCCAAGGGACACTATGACATTATGGTGGCAGAGGGGCTTCTTTGCTTTCCCCCCATAATTCCTTCAAACACTGAGTGTCCACACCGGGACTGCCATAGTCACCTCTTCCGGACAAGCAGCAGAGAAGACAGAATGTTGTGCCAACCATGTGGCTTTTGTGGAGAATGAGTGGGGGCCCCATCCAGCTCCTGGGCACTGGGGTCTGCCTGCCTCTTCTGCTCTCTATAGGCAGTGGGAAGACACAGGCCACCACGAAGGCTGGGCAGCCACCAGCTTGTCACTGCTTTCACTTCCCTGTGACAGCTATCCTAAGAGGGGAACACTTCTCAGTGCCAGGGAAGGCTCATTTGTAAAACAGGTTCAGTTTGTTCACTTGACAAATACAGCCAGTGCCTCCATTCCATCCTTTCAATGCGATCAGAAAACAGCCCTCGGATCTGGACCCAGAACACACACTCCCGCCCTGTTTCAGGACAGCAGACCCAATCATCCACAAAGGTAAGATGCTTTTTTTAGAAGGGGGCTTGGGGAGAAAGGACAGGATTGGGAGGTGGAATAAATACGGAGACAGGAGTAAAGAGGCTAAGGCATCTTCCTGAGTTTACTAGAAGTGACGCTTCCCACCTACATCACTGGGTGACCCACCTGCTTTGGGAGGATGAGTCAAGGGTGAATAAATATGTGCTCAAGGCAAAGCTGGCTTTCCTGGCTCATGGAGTTTCCTTTAATCACTTGCTTCTTTTCCAGGATGCACTCACCATCCCTCAAATTCTCATCTCTGTAGTGTCCTTAAAACCCTCCCTCTTATGCAAATTAAAACAACAATGAGGTATCACCTCCCACCTGTCAGAATGGCCGCCATCAACAAATCATCAAACAACAAGTGCTGGCGAGGGTGTGGAGAAAGGGGACCCTAGTACACTGCTGGTGGGAATGCAGACTGGTGCAGCCACTATGGAAAACACTATGGTGTTACCTCAAAAAATTAAAAGTTGAACTGCCATTGGACCCAGTGATCCCACTTCTAGGAATATACCCTAAGAAGCCTGAAACACCAATCAGAAAGGATATATGTACTCCTATGTTCATAGCAGCACTATTTATAATAACTAAGATCTGGAAACAGCCCAAGTGTCCATCAGTAGACGAATGAATAAAAAAGTTATGGTACATATACACCATGGAGTACTATTTAGCTGTAAGAAAGATCTCTTATCCTTTGAGATGACATGGAGGGACCTGGAAAGTATTATGCTAAGCAAAATAAGCCAAGCAGAGAAAGACAAATATCACATGATCTCACTTATTTCTGGAATATACTGAACTAAACAAACTGATAAACAAAATAGACCCAGAGTCATAGAAGTAGGGTAGAGATTGACAATCCTCAGAAGGCAGGGGGGGGGGGGGGGATAAACCACAGAACTTATATGCATGTATGTATAACCGATGGACATAGACAACAAAGCTGAAGACGGGGTGGGAGGGAATGGGGAGGAGGGTGTCAATGGGGGGGGGGGAGAAACATCTGTAACAAAAATAAATAAAATAAATCCACACACACACACAAACCCACCCTCCTCACCACCTCTGGGACTTCCCCTCTGTCTGCTGGCTAGAACCTGCCACAAATGCTCTTCTGTGTCACTCAGTCATCCGTGGCCACAAGTCTCAGTTAATGGCCCCTTCCATACTGAAAACTCCATACATTTCTTTTAAAACCTTTTATTCAATAATATATACTTTCAAAATTATAATATGTAACTGCCCATCATGCCATATATGCCCCATTCCCCTGCTGTGGAGTCTGTGGTCTGCTGGAAATCAGGCGGCCACGGGACGTGTCAAGGGGCACAGGGGAGCAACAGTAACCAACAACCATTTGCATACCCTTCACATTTCCCATGCTTTCTGGGTCAGGAGGAAGTCAACCGGAAGCCAAAGGCGTGTGAACCTTTTACATTCGGAAGTGAGGTTTGATATACGGTGGTGGGCTGCCCTTCAGTTGGTCTAGTTCGTGTTCGCCAAACCTGCCACCGTTTGTGTCTGCTCACGGAACGTGATCTCTCTACACACGTTAAGACGTTTGATTTTGTTCTTGTTCTGCTTATGGAAAAGTGAGAGGAACCGCAACAGACCTGGGAAAAGAGATGGGAGGAGGGGAAAGACGGCATTAATCAATCTGACCTGCAGTGAGGGCAGGCCTCCCTTGCGTGTGTGGCTTCCTCCTTCTGAAGAGGGCTGGGAAGAGTATGCAAGCTTGCCTTTCCCAGTGAGAATCATATGGGGTTTCAAATTTCTCTTCTAGCCACCACTAACAGTGGCAGTCTTTGCACAATCTTCTGCAAGAGCAAGGGGAGAGTTCTGGACACCATGTGAGTGACCAAGTCTCTTCCCCTTCCCTCAGGTCCAGGACGCTGACCATTCTGTGCAAACCAAGCTACAAGTTCCACAGTCCACCTCTAGATCCCCATCAGACCTGATCCAATTTGCTGAAGAAAGCTTGGACTGAGAATTAGTTGACTGTACTTATACAGGGAAAGGGTCAAGCCCACGAATAAAGAGCAAAAGGGAAACTAGCTTATGCAGAGGTGAGCAAAAGTAGGTTTAACAGTGGTTCGTAAGGAAAAGGACATGCAGGGTATGATTACTACAACAGCTTTAACAACTCCAAAGAATGCCATAATGGCAGTCTCACAGCTGCAAACCTACTCTCACCCACCCCTGTATCTTTAACTCTTTCCTGGAAGCGGCTGTCTGGCATGGCCTGAAAACCATTTCAACTTCCATGTCCAGGAGTGGAGTGGGTGGTGAGGCCAGCAGCAGAATTCTAGCAGCAGTCTCAGAATGGTACACCACTGGCAGAAAAGCACTGTGCACTTGGGAGGCTGCACACAGAAATATCCTTCCATGAAAACTTGGGCAAAGGGCTCTACAGCATAGTATTTGAGAAAGGCCGCGTGGTGCATAAGGTTGAGAAATGACTGTTTGCCATTAAGCACTTCAGAAACTGATTTCCAAGCATCCAACTCCACAGAGGGGTCATTTGGGGAGAAGAAAGAACATTAAAGACACCACCATCTGCCAAATAGCACGTGCCCACTAGTACTGCAAGGAACGGGGTGGGTAGACTTTTATAAATGCAGACCACTGCCCCAGAGGTTCAAGTTGTGCAATAAAACAGGTCAATCCCAAGAAGATAGTGTCTGAGGGGTGCAATTCAGAAGTACCAAGAAACAGCAACCCCCACAAAGACACTCCAGTCCCACCTCTCCTGCTACATCTTCACATAGGTGATTACTGCAACCAAGCACACACATCTTTGCAGTTCAAGGTTGATCCCTCCTCTCCCCCAAGAGACAGGAAACACAAGCTTAAGGTCCTCAGTGCAGTGGTTTGTTGCCCTCTTGGGAAGGCTGGTGGTGATCAACATTTTTATTTATACAAATAGGATTTCACATGGCATTTTTCTTTCTTCTAAGGGCAGCAGCACAGAAATCATACATCAGTCATTCAGTGATACACAGAGGTGGCCACTTGTGTCTGAAGTAGTCATTTGTAAAGGATCACCAGCTGGGCAGTGTTGCTTTTCTGCAAACAGAAGGAAAGTCGGCTCCATGGTTCTTGAAGATTTACCCAAGCTTTACACCGAGTGCCAAGATTTCTGTCCCAACCTCTTAGTCACCATTTACAGCAAGAAAAGCCAGCAAGTGAAAAACTGTTAATTTATTGATTCAATGAAAGTTGTTTTTTTTTAACAATCCTCAATACATGTAGTTCAGGATTAAGTATCACATTTGTAGCACATTGTTGAGTCTACACAAAAGTACGCCCCGTCTGCATAACCCCATCACATTACCTCCCCAGCCTCAACAATACCTGCGTGGAATCATTTTCATCAACACATCCGCTTAGCTCAAAAGCGCATGTTTTCACTGCTTTCCTTAGCTGATGTGTCCCCACCACCTCCTTTCCCACTTGTTCCCACCCAAGGTTAGTTTTTAAAGGCAAGACATTCAGATTTAAGCTCAATGACTTTGGCTTCCGGTATGCTCATGTGGACCCTGCTTTTGTTTTCTAAATGTTTTCTATTTTAACGTCCTTGACTTTGATCAGTTCTTACCCACTCCTAGTCATTTGTAGAAGGGAAGTTACTTTTTCCTGTGGGTGCTCATGCAGTAAATAACACAGGTTTCTAAATGAGTCATTTAATCTCAACTAGCATTAAAGGAAACTATTAACTGAACTCTTAGATCCATTTCAGTGCATATATAAAAATTCCTCCAATTGTTGCTTGTGTCCTAAAATAATTTTGCTTCCCTCCTCAGCAATGCAGCACCTGGGAGATCCCAAGTCATTTCCCTGAGCAGGCCCAGACTAAGCCCCACAGCTGCAGCTCCCTGGGACTCATCATCCACCTCAAAAGCACCTTTTGGTCCCAGTGGAACCAATCCAGGGGGCAGGGCCCTTCTCTGGGCACCCTCTAGAACATGACCTTTGTGCCCTCTAGGTCCTCTCTCCTCAGGAAGTCATGCTCCCTCAAGATCTACTGCTCAACTGTCTTACTGATTCCCTTTTTTTAACAGCCCACCACCCCAGCCTCTCTCCAAGGATTACAAGCACTGCTGTCTCCTCTAATGAATTAGTCTGAGAGCACCTTCCTTTTACAAGGGAATACATTTGCTTTGAGCCTTGTGAGTACCGATGTGTTAGAGAATGTCTGTTAGGAGACCCAGCTGAGTGAGTGATGATTAGGTGCCCAGCAGAACTGGCTTCGGCACACCTCTGGTAAGAAGGCCCAGGAATGCTTGGTCTGCATTATACATTTGATGGCTTATCCCATCCAGTCACCTACCACAGGGACAGGACAGGAGCAGGCCAGCTAATACGACCCAGGGCAGAGTGAACTACAAGTAAACTGCAGATGAGAATATCAGCAGTTCTGCTCTCGCCACAGATTTCTCAGCTGAAGCAAATCCCTGCAGTTTTGCTCACTGTGGTCAACACACTATGATGCACCATCTGTATTTGGCATAGGAACCTTTTGTTCTCACCACACCAGGTCTATGTTCTTAAACATAGGCAGTACCTGAGATGGCAGTGTAACACTACCCTGTTCCCCACGTTTTTTTTTTTTTGCTTTTCTTTAGGAAATAGTAAGTCCTTATCATAGGCACTTTTAACCTGTTATAAGGTAATGAATTGAAGCAAACAAAATAATCTAATGAAAATTAGAGAAGAATTTAAGAAGTATGCCAACTGAAAAGGATATTGGGTGGATACATCTATCATAGCTTAGTCTAAATATTACACACACACACACACACACACACACACCCCTCTTTTGGAATTCTCCAAGATCATCTCCCAATCCAGGTAAATGTTCTAAAATCTCAGGGAAGCTAGGTCCATCTGGACACAAATGGTTTGGAGATAGGTAAGAGAGAAAAGTCTGGACTGGACTCACTTCAGTCTGGGGAAAAACCACCTCCAGTTGCAGTAAACTGGTATCAAGACCAGACTAAGAAAGGAGTGAACACCTTAAACTCAGTTCTGCTTTATGTCTAAGGCATGAAAAGAGGTAAAACTATAGGTGGTAGAGAAGTAAACTGTATGTATGAAAGGAAGCATTACTCCTGTGTCAGCTGCAGTTGCAGAATCCAGGACAGGCGGGTGAGCTGTCTGCACCTACCAGATCATGAGCAAAGGAGGGAGAGGCCCAAGTAACCACCAACTCTTCTCCAGATGCTTTTATTGCTTCTGGGGACCCATGGGAAAGGAACAGGGTTACTACTTCACCAAGACCCTCCTGTAGGCTCCCCTGCCTGGTCCAGACAGACAACTTAAAGGTATGGGAGGAGGACGTGGGTACAAAGAGGTGGGGGGCAGGAAAGAAACACAGTGGCACATCTCCCTGATAATAACCAACAGTTCGGTGTTGCCTCAAAGGGCACATAAGAAGGCTTCTGATAATCCCAGACTGAGCTTTACTGCCTGATATAGCGATATAGGGTCAGCCAAGAGCTCGTGTCTTGTCTTTAATTTTCAGGTAGAACAAATATACATTAATATATAGAATGTGCAATGCAGGCAGGTGGTATCATCATGAGAACTTTAACTGAATCCTTTTCCTGGCTTTGGGATCTTTATTTTTATTTTTCTAATCTGTAAGCTCAACTCTATAATAAGAGTTTTATTTGTATTTTAAGTTCCCACCAACCAAATGACAAAAATAGAATCTACATTTAGAGATAGGACCTGCTACCAATACCAATAGGATTTTATTGGAATATGGAATGTAAACAGATGCTTTCAAACAAACAATCTAACCTTATAAAAACGTATGGCATTATTAAATAGTTAATAAAGAAATCCTAAATGTGATGTGGTGGCAGACACCTCTAGCTCTAGCCTAGTGTATAAGTCGCCACAGCTGGTGTGGCTCTGCAGCTGGGGTGAAGGGACTGCTTGCAAATCATGTTGGTGACAAGTCTCCCAAATGAAATCAGCCCTATCTTTTAGTTTTTAAAATAAAATCTAGCTTCCTTTGCTAATGTGAGGGCTACCAAATGAATCCCAAGCTTTGATACCTGCTCCGGGAGCTCCACTCCCCCCTGAAGCCCCTCGTATGTTGCTTTCCTCAGTGGCTTGGGCTGGGGGGTGGCCCTGCCCACACAACTCCAGGCCCTACACGCGAGGGACTTACCCTCGCCGTCTCGGTCATGTATTACCCATCAGAGCTTACAAATGCAGAGCACCCTGATCACAGTGGGAAATTATTTTTCATGGGGATAAAAAGAAGCAAAAAGGGGGTGGGGCTGGGGAAGTATATATTTTTCACCCAATAGGTCATTCCTGAATAAATTCTTATAGAATTTTTTTCTCCCTCTCCCTCCCTGACCTACCTAAAGACTGACCTACCAGCTTTAGTTATGGTTGTGAACAAAAAGTCTTTGTTTCAGAGAGATGCTTTAAAATAGGTGCACACATAGAGATGTGCTGGGAAATGGTGAGGTTTCCTTACAAGGCTGAAAGAAAACAAAAGCTACACAAAAAAATAGCAACAAGATTTTATGGTTAGGCAAATCAACAAAGGTTATGGTGAGCTCCAAGTTATGCACTTAGATCTAACTTCTGATGAGACAGATGGACCTGGTCATGGCATCACAAGGTTTAAAGTGACGTCTGCTGACATTAAAGGGGACTCATAAGTGACTGCAGTTTGCTCCCAAATTAATACACTTAGAGGAAACTGCAGGAATGAGGTACATTTCCTAGAGAGCTCATGTCATAAAAAAATACATAAAACATGAATTTGTAAAAGACTTTAAAAAAAAATACTGTCATTGTTTTAATATCTCCTTTTTGTAAATGAGGCTGGTGTGTCAGTACAGACTGCTGACGTGTCGCTAAAACTTGAGCCTGAATCTCACCCAAGGAAACCAGACCACAGTGGAATAGATAGGAAGTCAGACATTCAGAGCTTGTTGACCGAACGGGTTAATTCAACAGTGGTCTCCTCTTAAATAAAGGTAACTGTACACAACTCCGAGCCTCTCGTCTCCCATGCATTCCAAAGGGAGAGGTCCCTCAGATACTGAACTATGTGCAGCGTCTTGCTCGCTGCCAGAGCGGCAGCTCCCTGTAGACTAGTACTGGGGAGTTTCTTTCTGACAGACTTTTAGGTCTTTACTCTTCTTTGCATTTAGAAGGAATGACTAGAATTTCTTTTTATCACACTGTAGTTTTCCTTCAAGATTTGTGTTTGGTTGGTTGGTTTTATTGGCAAGCATCAATGCTGCATTACCCGTCGCTTTCCAGTCTTCATCGGGCTGCTGTGAGACCACTGGAAAGTACAGCATTATCCGCACAGGGCTGGGACTGCTCCTTCACCACAGGATCTGCAAGACAACAGCGTGAGGTCAGCAGAATCAGGCTGGGCAGCGTGGGACGTGACATCACGCCAAACCCAACCCTTCCACAGTGAGACAGAGACACGCTGCTGGGAAAGGCAGGATCAGGAGGGCAACAGAAATTACAGAGGTTATAGAAGAACCAGACACTGAAAAATGATCAAAGGAATTACTCTTATACTTCCTCAGAGTACAAGTCCAACTACTGAAACTCATGGAAAAGAGCGGCCCAGAAACACTCTTTCCACTGCTCAAAATTTCTAATTTTCTTATGTGCTATTTTCCTTGAATACAAACAACATAGTCAACTCCCAATTTCTTCAAAACATACGCAATAATAAGCACTTCAGAGGAAAGGGTGAATAAAAAGAGCCATTAGAACCCAGAGACATGGAAGTAGGGAACAGACTGACAAACCTCAGAGGAGGGGGTGGAGGGTGAGAAGAGATAAACCAAAGAACTTATATGTATATATGCATAACCAATGGACACGGGATCAGGGAGGAGGGTGTCAATGGGGGAAAAAAGGAGAAACATCAGTAACAAAAATAAATACATTAAAAACAAAACCAAAAAACAAAACGCCATTAGAAGACCTAGCCATTTTAATCAAAGCAGTTAAAAAAACTCTTAAAATAAAAATATGAAGTGTATTCAGAAAAGTCATGGATTACATACTGTAAACACCCGTGCTCTTAATTCCGTTTAACTACAAGGGTGAAAACAGCTTTCTGTGCCAGAAATCAGAAGGAGGACATACGAATTGCACTTATCTGACGTCTGGAACACTGAAGGGTGAAACCTTTTAAATTTCCTGTCTACTAATCTTATGACCCAACAGGTTCAAGACCACAGAGCAATGTCATCTTCAGGCAGGTTTCCAGTTAATCTCCAGGGTGGAAAAAGGACAAGGAAAGATAGCCTATTGGTCAAGCAACTGACAGCCTGAAAGTTTTCATACTGATTTAGATGGTGAGAACTGAGACAGGACACTTAACCTCCCTTGTTCTCAGTCTTCTCTGACTGCACCAAATGACCCCACACTGCTAACAGAGGGTGAGGCGAGCTTTGCCAGTGGGGACAACTGCACTCGTGCAGAACAAGAAGCAACCACATAAACGGATTTCTACGCCCCTCCGAAGTGAGACCTAAGAAGTCAGTAATTCAGATAGAATTTTAGTGAGATCTTTCCATACCTGCTTTTCTTTCCTCAAATTCCTTTTATTTATTTAACTTATTTCCTTCTTTAAAAATATACTACTGGTTACATTCTTTTCAATTCATTGTTTTCTTCAGCAGGGGGAGGGGCGGGAATATATATATTTGAAGACAAATTTTAGATATTTGTGATCTATCAACTCAGGATCACGGAGAATGATCTAACAGACCAGACTCAAAGGAGCTACAGCAGTTAATAAGCAAATAGCTTTGGGGATCAAGAAACAGATCTGCCAAGTTGTCTCAACAGTCTAGAACTAATGAGGCCAAATTCCAATGGCATTCAATCCAAATACCTAGAATTCTCTTGACTGGCCTTAAAGATAAAAGGTAAAAGAAATTTTCCTTTAATAAACTAGGCCTCTGACGGCCGGTCCCACACCCACATGTAGCGGATAAAAATCAGGAGGATACCTCCGCTGGGAAGGTCCTTTCTGAGGACTGAAGGGTCCCCGTCCCACACCAGGTGCCCCGCTCAGGGTTCCAGTGCCAGGAAGAGAATCCCCATCACTTCTGGCTGGAAAAACCAGCAGGAACTGAGGCTCAGGGAAGCTGAAACGGCTGGAGCCCCAGGCAGCTCCTCTTAAAGGGGCACGGACTTATCGGACTCTCCCTCTAAGCTCAGAGGGGAGGCAGCTCGAGGGGCACCAGAGACATACAGGGAAGAACTGAGCCATTTGGCACTGGAGCGAGGACTGGAGAGGAGGCTTTCTCTGAGACAAACGTGCTGTCAGAGGCCTTTTTGTTCCTTTGATGAGCCCTTCCCTGGGGCAGCAGACAGCCGCCATATCTGGGACTCCAGCAACCTGGCTCACACTGGTAGCCTCGCCCTGGTGACTCCCTGAGGCCAGGCCCCGCCCCGCCCTACCCAACTTTCAGGCCCAACCAGGCTGTTGGCACTTTCTTAACCATAGGATTGGCCTGTCTTGGATCCTGCTTCAGGTTTTTCCTAAATTCTTTCAAACAAGCAGCATCTGGTCTCAGCTAGCCCCATACACAGAAACAAACGCAGGGAGGCAGCCAAAATGAGGAGGCAAAGAAACAGGTCCCAAATGAAAGAACAGAACAAAACCCCAAGAAAAGAACTAAGCGAAATGGAGATAAGTAACCTAACAGATGCTGAGTTCAAAATACTGCTTATAAGGATGCTCAATGAACTCAGTGAGGGCCTCAAGAGCATAAAAAAGGACATGTCAGAAATGATCGATGCACAGTTAGAAACGAAGGAGGCTTTAACTGAAATAAAGAATAGTTTACACAGATTCAATAATAGAGTACGTAAATCCAAGAAGCAAACCATTGATTTGGAATATAATGAAGCAAAAAATGCCCAATCAGAACAGCAAAAAGAAAAAGGAATCCAAAAAAATGAGGATAGTGTAAGGAGCCTCTGGGACAACCTCAACCGTGCCAACATTCGCATCTTGGGGGTGCCAGAAGGAGAAGAGAGAGAACAAGAAATTGAAAACCTGTTTGAAACAATAATGGCAGAAAACTTTCCTAACTTGGTGAAGGAAACAGACATACAAGTCCAGGAAGGACAGAGAGTCCCAAACAAGATGAACCCAAAGAGGCCCACACCAAGACACATCATCATGAAAATGCCAAAGGTTCAAGACAAAGAGAGAATCTTAAAAGCAGCAAGAGAAAGGCAGCTAGTTACCTACAAGGGAGTTCCCATTAGGCTGTCAGCTGATTTCTCAAAAGAAACTTTGCAGGCCAGAAGGGAGTGGCAAGAAATATTCAGAGTGATGAAAAGCAAGAACCTACAACCAAGATTACTCTATCCTGCAAAGCTGTCATTTAGAATCGATGGCCATATAAAGACTTTCCCAGACAAGAAAAAGTTAAAGGAGTTCATCACCACCAAACCATTATTCTATGAAATGATGAAGGGTCTTTTTGAAGAAAAAGATAAAATATATGAACAAACAAAATGGCAATGAATACATATCTATCAACAATGGAATCTACAAACAAAATAAACAGGTAGAACAGAAAAATTCTCATAGATACAGAGAACATTTTGTTGGTTGCCAGTTGGGAGGGGGGTTGGGGGAATGGGTGAAAAAGGGAAAGGGATTAAGAAGTACAAATTCATTGCTAGACTGACAAACCTCAAAGGGAAAGGGGTTGGGGGGGTGGGAAGAAATAAACCAAAGAACTTATATGCATAACCAATGGATACAGACAACAGTGTGGGAAAAGGAGGGAGGGGGGCGGGAGTGGGGAGGAGGGGGTCAATGGGGGAAAAATGTGGAACATCTGTAATACATTCTACATTCAACAATAAAGATTTAAAAAAATAAAAAATAAAAAATAAACTAGGCCTCTGAAAAGAGCCCCTGGAGACTCACAAAAGTATGGATGCTCCATGGCCTCTTTGGCAGTCAGTCTTTGTTGATGGTCATATCGCAGAAGTTTGTCCAGAAGATCTAGGGCCTCGGGACTGACAAGGTGTCTGTTCTCACTATGGATAAAGTTTTCCCAGCGTTTCCGTGAATGTCTGAGAAGAAAAGGGGGGCATTAGCATTCTGAGACTAAATTCAACAAGAATCCTTATGTAGTAGGGCTAAAACCAACAAAATCTTAGAATACTGCAAGCTCATTAAATCTCATTCTTGCTGCTGCCTGCCCCACCCCCATAGTTACTATCACAGCCAGTTCACTTGCTAACACTTGTACGATCCTCAAACAAAACAGTGCTCGGTGACTGATAAAGAGAATTAATTAATACTTTTACATGTGATTTGGATATAAAAGTCTTCGATGGCTTTTAGTCAATTCTGGGGGAGGCTGAGGTGACTGAGTAATTGTTATTATTCAGCTGTTATATTCAGAGAACTGTTAGCTTAGAAACATGGAGGTTTCATAGAGCATTGTTTGAAAAATTTCAACACACCATTTACTTTTCAATACTCTCTCTGAAAACATGTTTTAAAATTTGCTACTTTAGCCCTGGCCGGCTTGGCTCAGCCCTTGGAGCTTTGGCCTGCGGACCAGAGAGTCCCAGGTTCGGTTCCCGCTAGGGGTACGTACCAAAAAAAAAAAAAAAAGTTGCTACTTTATAGAAACTCCATTACACATAAGAAATTGTCTCTTCAAAGAACCACAGCTTTCTAAGATTTTTCCATTAAAATAAGCATATGCTATACCAGAAAGCTTTGTTCTGTAACAGTATAATTTTCTATTAATAAATAGGCTATCTCCTAGAAAAGCAAAATTAGAAGACACATGTAAACAATGCCCAAATATCTCAAAATAAGTTAAGAAATACACACGGCAAAAAGAAGACCACTTCAATTTTGACAGGATTAGAAAGGGGAAGAGCTTGAGAAAGTGATTCTGGCTAACCTTTCCACTTCTGCAATGGGGTAAGTTAGTATCCCCTCCTTCTTTCTCTCTTACTTACTGTCCCAGGATATCGTTGAAGTGCGGGTCTAGGTCTATGTGATACTTCTTCAGATACCCATACAGCTCATCTGTACCCAGAACCTTGGCAATGCGAACAAGCTGAAACACAGAACAAACTGACCAAATCACTGAGCACAGAACTCAATGCAAGCCTGTGAGGACACTGACAAGCAATCAGAGGACTTCCACCTCCTGAAATCTCCAGTGACCAGACACAGACTCAAGCCTGGGCAGACGGGCAGCAGACCCAAAGACATGAAGTTCATATGGATGCAGATTTCAAACTACCTTTAAAGCGATAATGTAGCTTATAACAATAATCTTCTAGAAGATGACGATTATGGGGACATCACAATCTAATGACCACAATTTAGTTTTATTAGACAAGGAAGTGCCCGACTTCATAGGCCCACTTTGAAGTTGGGCATAAGACAGCATTCTCTGTATTTGGAGACCTGGTTAACAGCAGGCAAAATTTTGTGAAATTCTTCACCCTGAAGAAAAGCTTACATGCAGATATTGAGTGACATGTAGTAAGTGGTTCAAGGTTAGCACCCTATCAAGGGATGCTACTTTCTTGGCATCTGCCCTCAAATGGATATGAGCCAGATGGTGTCTGCTCACCTGGTCGTAGTTGTCCTGTCCATGGAAGAAGGGTTCCTTTCGAAAGATCATGCTTGCTAACATACAGCCCAAACTCCACATGTCCAAGCTATAATCATACATCTAAAGAAATAAGGACAACCGGTCAGTCAAGGGTGTTACATTTTCCTAAGCCAATAAACAAATAAGTAAGAAGGTAGCCGTGGAAAATCTGAAATGATTATTGTGGGGTGGAAGAAAGACTGGGTTTTGAATGTATCCAAATTGATTAAAGAGAAATCAGGAAAAAGGAAAAGCCCCAAGGAAAAATAAAAATAGCCCAGATGCACTTCACTAACAATTTTACCTGGTAGTCCACAAGGAGCTCTGGTCCCTTGAAGTACCTGGAGGCCACACGGACATTGTACTCCTGAGCAGGATGGTAGAACTCTGCAAGACCCCAGTCTATCAGTCGCAGCTACAAATATGACAGAAATAAAACATGTGAGAGGAGTGTTTCTAATTGCCTGTGCCTTAGAACAAGGCCACACATTAGATGATAATTATTTGGCTGCATAAAAAAATGTGGGCAAGTGCACTGGCTAAAAATTATACTTTCAGCAAATGCATAAAAGGTCATTTCTAGAGCAGAGCATTCAGAGTCTTATTTGCTTTTTTTTTTTTAATTTAAATTATCCTGGCTTATTCTCTTGAGATCAATAGAGTTTAAGTTTTTTTCTGGCTCCATACCACTTATATATGTGACACATTCCCCCATCATGAACAGTTTTCATTATAAGCTGTAGTCATAACAGAAAGGATGGGGATATATGCACCACTCCAGGATTGAATTGAGGCACTGCTCTAGTTTTTCATTAATCTATTACTAGTTCTTCATTTACTCACCAATCAGGGACAACCAGAATTGGATATTGAAAACTGGAGGGACCGAAGTATACTTTTAAGGCCAGGCAGATTGGCCTGAGGGTCATCAAGCAGTAGAAAACCATCAGCTGTGGTTTCTTTCTTGAGGCCTCCAGAAAACCATGACCACAATAAACAAGCGACTACAGTCAAGCTCAGCTGTCTACTTTCCTTGTGTACTATGCTTATGCAAAGTAGAAACCAACACTGAAGACTGGGAAATAACAGTATCACCAGTCAGCCCAAGAAAGCAGCATGGGTCTCCAAAAACCACCTAGGTACTGGCCACGGTGTTGGTCAAAGCCTTCCAATGAAAGGCTTGTTGCTGCCTAGCTGTTATGGTACCTTTTTCTGTTGGTGATCTATCATGACATTGTGAGGTTTCACATCCCTGTGCATGATTCCCTTGCTGTGGCAGTAATCCAGAGCCTATTAGATAAGAAAGCACAGAGAAAAGTAAGCAAACCCTCTACCACACCCCCAATGCAATCATATTCTTATTTTTTGTGTGACAGCTTGACTTGAATAGTCTCCCAAGGGGCAGCTTACTGCCTGTAACAAAAGAGAAAAACACGCTTCAGAAGGCACCCCTTGTTCTCTGCACACCATGCTGGCAGCTGATAGAAGTGGGGCTATGGAGGGGACATCAAGGCTCTGATGGAGGTTTCTTAAAAAGGGGGAAATGATACACTTCTTTCTGCATAGATAGCAATTTATCAGCCACGTGGATTTAAAAATCATACATTAATCTGTTATGTGTATAAAACCAGATCTGGGAACCTCACTGGAGTCACCTCTCATCGTGGTTCAAATGACATGTAAGAGTCCATGTGGACATAAAGAACAACATCCAAATATATCTTTCAATGTGGCTGGTTTTTTAGATAAGTGTCCCATGTAGGTTTTCTACGTTAACATACATTGTAACATTAGTATTTTCCTTAAAAACAATCCCTGAGCCAGTTGATCTTTAAGAATTATGATTGTATTATTACTCCAAGGAAGGAAATGGTTTCCTGTAAGACAGTTGATATGCAGATAATTTTTTTTTTTTTAATTCTCACCTGAGGATATTTTTGTTTATCTTCAGATAGAGTAGGAGAGGGAGAGAGAGGGAGAGAAAGGGAGATAAACATCGATGTGAGAGGGACACATCGAATGGCTGCCTCCTGCACAGGACCCCAACTAGGGCCAGGACAAACTGCAACAGAGGTATGTGCCCTTGACTGGAATCAAACCTGTGACTCTTTGGTCCATGGGCCAACACTCTACCGCTGAGTCAAACCAGTCAGGGAACAAGTAAGATTTTTAAGGGAACAAGTCAATGATTTTTTTTTAGTGACTTTATACTGCAGAGGTGGAGAACCTTTTTTCTGTCAAGGGCCACAGACCATACAAAATTATCAACTTAAAAATTAGCCTGCTGTATTTGGTTAGGCTACTTTGGTGAGGTGTGTGATGTTAACTGTTATTGATTTCGCGGGCCTGAGGGCTGGACATGCATTCCTCACCCCTGCTTTATAGAGCTGTGCAACCATCACCACAATCCAGTTGTGGAATTTTCCCACTATCCCAAGAATGTCCCTTAAGCTTGTCTGCACTCAATCCCCACTCCCATCTGCCCTCAACTCTTCTTCTCTCCTCTCTGCTCACAACCACTAAACTGCTATTTATTGCTATCATTTGCCTTTTAGACATTCATAAAATGAAATAAAACAATATACAGTATTCTATCTCCGTTCATGTAGCATGTTTCTGAGATACATCCATGTTGCTTTTTTCTTGCTGAATAGTATTTCACTGTATAAATGTACTACTTGGTAGACATCTGTATTATTTCCACTCTTTGGCTATTATGAATAAGCTGCTTACGTTCATGTACAAGTCTTCAAGATGACACATACTTTCATTTATCTTGGATAGATTCCTAAAGGTGGAATTGCTGGATTGCACGTAGGTTTACATTAAACTTAAAAAAAAATCCGCCTAATTGTTTTCCAAAGTAGCTGCACCATTTTATATTCCCATGAACAAATGATGGTTCCAGTTTCCCTACATCTTTGCCAACACTTGTCATTTTTCCCCCTTTTTGTTAGCAACTGAGAATCTTATGGTACCTACTATGTGCTTGACAACGAGTGCTGTTGGTGGAGTTTGCTATGGCACAAGGTTAAGGTTTCTCAACCTTGGTACTGTTGACATTTTAAACCAGGCAATTCTTCATTGTGGAGAGCTGTCCTGCACACTGTAGAATGTTTAGCAGAATCCCTGGCCACTATGTACCAGATTATAGTAGCATCCCTTCAACTGTGACAACCAAAAATAGTTTCAGACTGCCAAATGTCCTCTGGAGGAAAAAGCTGACCTGATTGAGAACCACTAGGCTAGGCATCTTTACATGGGAGGAAAGACATAAGCCAGAGAATGATCCCTGGCATCAGTATTCTAGGAATAAGCAAATTTGCTTTCCCTAGACATGAGAGTATACAGTACAGTGTCTGATGCTTTTTATATGAATGGCAAAACTAGATTATGGTAATTATCCTGGCCGGGTAGCTCAGTGAGTTAGAGCATGGTCTTGATGATACACCAAGGTTGTGAGTTCGATCCCTGGTCAGGGGACATACAAGAATCAACCAATGGCCCAGCTGGTGTGGCTCAGTGGATTGAGCATCATCCCATGGACTGAGAGGTCCTGGTTTGATTCCCAGTCAGGGCTCGTGCCCAGGTTACAGGCTCCATCCCCAGTAGGGGGCATGCAGGAGGCAGCTGATGGATGTTTCTTTCTCACATTAATGTCTCTCTAAAAAAAAAAAAAAAATCAATAAAAACATATAAAAAAATCAATCATTGAATGCATAAATAAATGGAACAACAAAAATCGATGTTTCTCTCTCTCCCCCTAAATTCAATAAATAAAAAATATTAAAAAACAATAAAAAAGAGCTCTGGCCAGTTTGGCTCAGCAGTTGGAGCGGCGGCCTGCGGTCCCGAGAGACCCAGGTTCAGTTCCCGCTAAGGGCATGTACCTCGGTTGCAGTTTGTCCCAGGCCCTGGTTGGGTCGTGCGGGAGGCAGCCACTCAATGTGTCCCTTTCACGTTGATGTTCCTCTCTCTCTCTCTCCTTCCCACACTATCTGAACAATGTCCTCGGGTGAGGATAAAAAAACAAACAAAACTAAACTATGGTTGGTAGAGGTGAGAATACAATCTTCAGAGAAGGGGATACTGAATAGAAGGGGCACAAGAGAGACTTTTGGGGTATTCATAATATTCTCTACCAGCTCTGTCCAACCAAACTTCCTGCAATGACAGAAATATTCTATCTGTACTAATATAGTAGCCTCCAGACACATGAGGCCACTGAGTACTTGAAATGTGAATAGTGTACTAAGGAACTGAATTTTTGCTGTTGTTAGTCCTCACCCAAGGATATTTTTCCATTGATTTTTAGACAGAGTGGAAGGAAGGGGGTTGGGGAGAGAGAGAAACATCGATTGATTGCCTCCTGCATGACCCTGACTGATGCCAGGGACCGAACCTGCAACCCAGGCATATGCCCTTGGCTGGGAATTGAACCTACGACCCTTTGGTCCGAAGGCTAATGCTCCAACTGCTGAGCCAAACTGGCCAGGGCAGGAACCGAATTTTTAAGTTCACTTAATTTAAATATCTACCTGCGGGTAGTAGCTACTATATTGGCAACATACTTCTGTGTAGATTTGGGTAAAGGTTTCACTTAAGTAAAATTTAAAAAACTGTACACTTGAGATTTATTCATTTCATTTATGTAGGTTCTACTTCAATTTAATTTTCTCTTTGTTTTGGTTTACAACAAAGCTGTAGCAAGGCTCCACAGTGGTTCTGTGGCAGTGCCTTATGAAACCAGGGCTCCTGAGGACAGACCTCCCTGAATCTGAATCTGAATCAGATCAGACTGTGCAACTCAGTGAGTCACCAAGCAATCACTCTGCAGACCTCAACCTATTTCTACATTTTCAATGAAGTTAAATATTCCCTCTTCTCCATCCCTGCTCCCACCCCACCCCAAACAGAAAATCTAGCAAGTGTTGATTTTGTTGTTTTGCCTAGTCTTTGCCCAAATGAATTAGGACCACATACCTGGGATGTGAAAAACCCTCGAAGAAAGGAAATTTAGCAAGGGAATGAATTCTTTTGCCAAGCTTACTAGTTAAGACTTCCTGTGGAGCTACTGACATGCTTTTAAATTCCTTGGGGGAATTCTTTCAGTTTTAAAATCTGGTAGTTTCTGACCACTAGGCACGAAAGATGTTTCAAGTTTCATCTGGGGCTCCGTGCCTCATTAGCAGAAAGTATGCTCTTACCACCCAGCTGCTACCTCTAGAAAATAGGACATCAGACACCAAGTGCCAACTGAACGACCAGCCTGTGAAGACCTGCATCATTGGGATGTCTTTACCTGAACTGTGCTAGGTTTCAACATTACCTTTGGTGTGCTAGCCTGCCACAAAATCTTAACATGTTACTTAAAAAAAAAAAATTGTGGAATTTGGACTGCAGTTCCCATGGGGTAAATGCATGGGCATCTCCGAAAAGCACCTCCAGGGACTGGGCGAGCCTGCCAGTTCACAGGGCACCGGCACTGCAAAGCCCTCCCTGACCGAGGCCTTCAATTCCAGCCAGGACAGGACAGAAAGAAAAGTGGGATAAATCAAGCTCTACCTTCTTCGTCTTTCTGATCTTATTGACGCCCCCCAAAAAAGACTCATTAGACATAAGAGTAAACCCTTAATTCCAATGCCTTGTCTCTAATGACAAGTTCGTGCAAGTGCTTGTAAGAAAACACATTCACTTCACAGACCTATTTCTTCAAAATCCCATTCTCTAAAGCCCAGCCTTAATTTAACTTGGTATTTTGTGTTTTTTTAATCCTCACCCGAGGATATTTATATATTTATCTTCAGATAGAGAGGAGGAAGGGGGAGCTGGGGCATTATTGTGAGAGAAACACATCGACTGGTTGCCTCCCACACGACCCCAACCAGGTCTGGGGACCAAACCACAACCAAGATACGTGCCCTTGACCGGAATCAAACCCACGACTCTGGTCCGAGGGCTGACACTCTAACCACTGAACCAAACCGGCCAGGGATTAACTTGGTATTTTGTCCAAGCAGCATCTATTCACAATCCCATCAAATTTCCATCGTGGCAATTTTCTTCAATAACGCCAATACCTTTGTCACTTCTATATTTGTTCACAGGTTCTTAATTTGAGATGCACACCACCCTCTAAAACTTTAAGCAACACTATATATATACATATGCATTTTGGGGGTGAGTTCTTAAGAGATCATTTCTCCATCAATCAGTAATGCTTGAAAATTTCAGTCCTGGGATTCATAAGTCTCCTAGAAGGTCCACCCATCACCTCTCTCTGCATGTCAAGGTTAACTAGCCAAGGCTAGAGGAGTAGGTCACAGGTTAGGTTATCTAAGAAGGGGATTACAAGAGATGGCAAGATGGCCAAGAATCCTGCCATCCCCGGTATGCATGTACCTCCTCCTCTGCCCAGCGAGAGGTGGGTCTACTTCCCACCCTCTAAGTCTAGGCTTGGCCATATGATTTGCTCTGGTCAACAATGAGCAAACATGACACAGCGGAGGCTGAAAAGTGCTTACACATCAAGGTTTGCCCTCTCTGGCTGCTAAGAACCCTAAGACCAGCATGGGAAGCAGCCAACACTAACCTCCTGGAGGATGAGGCCTTGGCTACTCCAGCTGCCATCCCAGATATGTGAATGAGGCCATCTGGACCATCCTGACCAGCTGGCCCCAGTTAAGTTTTCCCAGACCAAAAGACTCAACCAATCAACTGAGAGAATTTTAAGAATTAATAACCAAAGGGGCAAAAAGAGCTCTTAAGAGGGATGTTCTAATCTCTGCTATAAAATCCCTGGTATTCCTGAGTAGGCCATCTTTCTCAGTTCCACTGGACACTTCCTATGTAAAGATCCTACGACGGAGGCCTCAAGACAAGAAAACAAAACAAAACAAAAAACGACAAAAAAACCCTCACTAAATAAATACTCTGGGTATCAAGAAATAGCCTGCTCAAGTTCTTCTCTCAAAAACTTCTTTAATGAATAAGCCTGAAAAAAAAAAAAAAATCACTGTTTATGAATGCCACTTACTTTAAGTAGTTCATACATATAAAACCGGATATCAAAGTCTGTCAGGATCTGGTAAAGTTGCTGAAACAGATTTCAGAAAACAGAAAGTTAATTTAGTGTCATTGCATCATGTCATCCCAAATGTTGGTCATTATTCTCTGTAAACTTTGTGCTTGAGTCACTCAAGAATACCAGAACTTTTTACTACCTGACCTACAATAAATGGGGACAGACTAAAGATGAGGGTCTAACACGTCAGTCTTCAAAAGAAAGAATGAAGAAAGGAATTCCAGGGAAGAAAAACATTTATTCTAATTTGGATCCTTTATTTATTTTTCCTTTATTAACTTTAGTGATAGAGGAAGTGAAAGGGAGAGAGAGAGAGAGAGAGAGAGAGAAACATCGATGAGAGAGAACATCGATTGGCTGCCTCCCGCATGCCCCCCACTGGGGGTCGCGCCCACAATCTGGGCATGTGTCCTGGCCAGAATTGAACCAACGACCGCTTGATGCATGGGTTGATGCTCAACCACTGTGCCACATCGGCCGGACTAACTTGGATCCTTTAAAAATGTGTTTAATGCTCCCTGATTTCAACCCCCACAATTGCACTATTATGGATATATAGTAGCAGTTGTCCAACTGCACTTCAAACAAACTCGACCCACTGTCACACTACCAACACTTTACAGGACTGAGTTCTGTGTGGATAGAAGAACCTGAAAAACTTCATCAGCCCATGTGGTAAAACAGTGGTGAGAGAGACAGTCTGTTTATGAAAGAAACACAAGGAAAATGAACTGCTTCAGCATTTGGAAATGGCAAGACTTAAAAATTCTATACTCTCCACTTCCCCCAAAACCAATTCCAGGCTGGAAAAAACACTTCACAGATAATATATATATATATTTTTTTATCCTCACCCGAGGACACTTTTCCACTTTTTTTTGTTCAGACAGAATGGGAGGGAGAGAGAGGAAGCGAGAGAGAGAAACATCGACGTGAAAGGGACATCGAGTGGCTGCCACCCACACGACCAACCAGGGCCGGGGACAAACTGCAAACGAGGTACATGTCCTTAGCGGAAACCGAACTCGGACCACAGGCCGACTCTAACTGCTGAGCCAAACCGGCCAGGGCCACTAATAATATTGATGGGAACTAAAGAAGTCAAATGTTTTAGGGAGAAGAAAAAAGGAGTGCTGGAGTGAAATGTTAAAAAACGAACTCACAAATGAAAGTTTTCATGATTGATAATCTAAAGATCCACTCACCAGGATATATATATATATATTTTTTTAACAAACTTTTTTCCTTTATTGATTTTAGAGAGGGAAGAAGTGAGAGGGAGAGATAGAAACATGGATGAGAGAGAACATCCACTGGCCGCCTCCTGCATGCCCCCACCGGGAATTGGGCCCACAACCTGGGCATGTATCCTGACTAGGAATCGAACCGGCGACCTCTTAGTGCATGGGTCGGCACTCAACAACTGAGTCACACCAGCTGGACTCACCGGGATATTTTTTAAAAATTTTAATTTCTAAGAGGCAGAACACCATTTATGAATCCAAGTTCATTAAAACAAAAAACCCCAGCCCTGGCCTGTTTGGCTCAGCGGTTAGAGTGTCGGCCTGCGGTCCAGAGAGACCTGGGTTCGGTTCCCAATAAGGGCATGTACCTCAGGTGCAGTTTGTCCCCCGCCCTGGTTAGTCATGCAGGTGGCAGCCACTTGATGTGTCCCTTTCACATCGATGTTTCTCTCTCCCTCCCCCTCCCTCCCTCTCTGTCTGAACAAAAAATGGAAAAATGCCCTCGGGTGGGGATAAAAACAAACCAAAACCAAAACCAAAAACTCTGGTCAGAAACTGTACTATTACTTTTTTTAAAATATGTTTTCATTGATTTTTTTAGAGAGAGAAAAACATCAATGTGAGAGAGACACATTGATTGGCTGCCTCCTGCACACCCCCTACTGGGAATCAAGCCTGCAACCCAGGCATGTGCCCTGACTGGGAATCGAACCGAGACCTCTCAGTCCATGGGATGGCACTCAATCCACTGAGCCACACCAGCCGGGCTGTACTATTACTTTTGGTAATGAATTCCAAGTAAATTATCTTTCCCCATCAGTCCAAGCAGCACTTTCTATGAAATTAATCAGCACACTTTTATGAGATATATTTTGTTTCTCTCTTTACTGGAAGACTCAAGCAATAAAGAGAATCTCTCAAAGGAGTAGAGAGCAGTGTCTGTAGAAAAGGGGGGTAAGTATAACTACCCATTCGTATTTGTTTGTATCTGCAAAAATGACATGAGATTAATAAAAAGTGGTTTCATAAATACGTGTGTGGGGGGGTGGACAGTTTGGGGCACAGAGGAATAAAGGAGACTTTTCTGCATTCCACTTGATACTAAAAAAACTTTTATTCTTCATTGATTTAAAAAACTTTTTTTCCTTCATTGATTTTAGAGAGAGAGGAAGTGAGAAATAGAAACATCGATGATAGAGAACATTGAGTGGCCACCTCTTACATGCCCCCCCACTGGGTATTGGGCCCATAACCTGGGCATGTGTCCTGACCAGGAATCGAACTGGCAACCTCTTGGTGCATGGGTTGACTGAGCCACACTAGCTGGACTCTTCACTGATTTTGAGAGAGAGGAAGGGAGAGGGAGAGAGAGAGAGAGAGAAACATCGATGAGAGAGAACGATGGGCTGCCTCCTGCATGCCCCCCACTGGGGATTGGGCCCACAACCTGGGCATGTGCCCTGACTGGGAACTGAACCAGTGACCTCTAGGTGCATGGGTCGATGCTCAACCATTGAGCCACAACGGTCTGGCCATTTCATATTTTTAGATCCATGTAAATAAATTACCTGTTCAAAAATAAAATTTTTCAATTTGCTGAAAATCAAATTAAAAAATTTCTAAGACCATCAGGACTTCTTTCTCAAACATCCCCTTCTAAATTAGAGTAATTCTCCCTCCAGCTTAGTAAGGCTACCTGATTTCATCAGCCGCAGGCAACAGCCAGCTCAAGGCAGCACAGAGAATGAAAATTTACATTCCAGCACACACACTGGTGGGGCCCTGGAGCTGCTGCCCCACTGGAGGCTGACCTGGGATGGGACTGAACTGTGGAACTCAGGCACAATGGCAGACATACCCACCACTTCTGCTCAGGAGATTCAACTGCGTAACAGCCCAGCACCCAAGTTTTTTGTTCTCCACAGCACACCCCCAACCTGTACGTAGAGAACCAGGCCAGAGATAGCATCTCGTTGCATGTCAAATCAGCTCCTCCTGTGAGAGTTAAGGAGGTCACTCCCAGAGACTATGCCAAGTTGAACCTCAGTCAATAAATAGGCCATGAAAGTGAGAACAGCATTTTCTGACCCTCAGAGATCTGGGATATTTCATTTCTAGGAAACAAGTACAGGCTATTTTACAATCTGGACTTTTGTCTGTGAGAGGCTTTCCTCTCATATCATGTGCTATCTACACCAACACCTGTATAAATGGTCTAAGGCATAAAAATGAATGTCCTTGGACTGCCAATGTAGGATTTCTAGCTATTCCAACCAATATCAATTTTATGTAGTATAAAAACCACTAGTTGACTATTGTGTTTAGACCTAATACATTCCAAAGTCCTAACTGACAGACTGACATTCATGCTCATTTCTCAAGAGCTCTGGGTAGGAGACCAAATTACACCTGTAACATTTTACCACCTGAGCTAAAATTCAGAACACACCAGGGTCCACAGTCTGGCTTCCTCCACCTTTTGCAGCTGTCTCCACTGCAGCCCCCCAGGAGTCCCTGACTCGGAGCAAACAAACCTGGGTTTGCCACCTTCATTATTCCCAATGTCCCTACCCCCCAAGTCTGGAATATCCTGCCTGGCCCCCTTGCCCATAAAGTCAAATCCACCCCCATCTGGACTCCACAGAGCCGACAGCAGTCTCTTCCTTCTCTGAATCCCCATGCTGTTTATTGTCCTCTGCAGCATGCATAGTATACTGACAGCAGCAGGGTCCCCAGAGTTAACATTCCTCACTCGGGTACTGGCAGTGACCTGAAGTTCTCAAGATAATTTCTCACCCTGTTGTGAACAACAAAATACTGCCTCACTATGCTCTTATCCCAGGAGTCCCATGCCAGAGTCCCTGCATACCGTGGCATACACACAGTGGGAGAAACGGCTGCTGTGGCTGGTGGTAGTCACCATTTGGTGGTTCAAGATCTCTGAACTTTCCTTCCTCCAGCTATGCCAAGGGTCCAACACACAACTGTGTCCAACATACAACTAAGTCTTGCACAGCAAAGCAGCACTTGCTTCAGATACTGACATACCCCACCCCAAGTACAATGGTCCTCTGCCTGCACACAGAAGGCAGCTGAAACTATTTGTCTTTCATGATGTTCTAGTCAATGAAGAAAAGAAAAACTGTCTTCCAAAAAAAAAAAAACAGAAGCAATGAGATTCCCTGCCAAATGAGAAAGGGAAACACCACAAGAACCACACTTCTCCACTGTTCCTAGCCAGCTAGGTGGAGAACATCACTAACGAACCAACTACAGAACACTGGCTAGAAGTGAGCTTTGTTTACATTTTCATCAAGTAGGTGACTTATCAAAAACAAAGCAAGCCTATGCTTCCCAAAAGATGACAAAGGTACTAAGGAAGAAATTATTCATCAATCCTCGTTTGGTTCCAAAGCTGCAAGCACACTGGCATCTTCCTAGAAATTAGTTCTACTCCAGGGCTACCCAAAGGGCCCAACGTGGAAATTTCCTAGGACTTTAATTAAACTCAGAAAGTCTGAGAGAGAGAATGGGAAAAATGCAATTTGATCAACAGACTCAGAGCCTCCTCAGTCTAAAACCAACACCCAGAAAGAATGGCCACAAGTGGGCCTCACTCCTCCCGTGATACAGATGGGTCCTCAGACTCCAGTTACGGTGCAGCTGCAGTATCATGATCAGGTATGGGTTCCAAAGCCCGATCCCCAATGGTTGTCATTTAGGAGGACTTCACACTGTCAGAAGGTTCCCAGCCAGATATGGGAATCA